AGGGAAAATGCTGAAATAAAATAAATCAATAAGAAAATAACAATAATAAAATCAAAAGTACATCGGATAAATCGTGGCCGTAGATCTACGGCCACGTCCACGGTAGACTTTCCAACTGATGTCCCCATCAATTTTTTTCATCTAGAAACTTATATGGACAACCATGATATTGTTATATATAGATGACGTAATAAAAAATGAGCATTGATAACAAATGAAGAGATCAACATAAAAGAAAGATTACCAAAGAAAATGTGCATAATAGTTAGTCTAAAAATCAAATGTGAAGAAATCTAAGTTCACCCTTAGTCGAATTAGTAGTGGTGCTGTTAGTAGAATTTTGGAAGCTTGTGCTAGATGTATTAAGTTTCATAAGGGCGAATGATTTATGAGCTCTAACACTTGCTACTGGGATCGTCAGATGGGACATACATCAAAGTATTGCCCTACATTGGGTCATAAAACTTTAGAAGAAGTGAATAAGGCTAAACACCTTCAAAAAAGAGTTTTTATAAACATAAGATGATGAATTTAACCATTTCAACCCCAACACAAACTCAACCAATGATAGAATAATTGACCTCAAGTTTATGCTTTGACTTGCTGGAGCCTGATGAATCTATTGATATTGACAAAATTATTTGAGATTGATTGTAATAATTAATGCATAGTAATTTGTTATGTTATATTAGATCCTTTGCTTTATAAAGTGATGCACTTAATTTTAAGACTCATATTGAATGAAATCAAGATGTTATTTCACAAACTTAGAGAGTAGTTGTGTTTAATTTAGCTCATGATGGCATGCTACAATTAGAAGTTATATTTAAATTTTGAGGATGAAATTTTTATAAGTGGGAAAGATTGTAATATCCCAAATAGTAGTTGTTGCTCCTGTCGCTTGAGAAACCCGAACTTGAAGACTCTATTTGCCGCTTGGTGTCGAGGAGGACGAAGGACATTTGTTCTCACATGGGAAGACGAAGAAGAGCATGGGAAAATGGAGTGTGCGACGAGTCTAGGAAGACGAAGAAGGCGAAGGAGACAAATGTCATTCTATCGCTTAGTGTTGAGGAGGTAAAGGTTGGCAGTGTTCATAATCGTGCAAATGAGTAGAAGAGCTCGTCTGATCCATTGTTTGGTTTCACATGAAGACGAAAAGATCTTGTCCCTATAAATCAAAGAGAGAGAGGAAAATCGAAGAGGAGATCAAAGCGAGGACAACCGAGCATTCGAGAGGAGAGGTGGTCACGTCTTAAGGTTTGTGGTGTTGAGAAGAGTGAGAGCACGAACGTGATATCGACGTAAGGGAAGGTACGCTTAGGCGAGTGACTAGGGCACATGCGAGATTCACGCGTGGAGAAGGTAAGAAAATTTTCTTTTATTATTTATAAAAATAAGAATTATTTATATTTATAAATTAAAGGATTTAATTTAGAAATATTTATATAGGTTATAAGTTAAAAGAAAGTTAAGAATAGCAACCGTTCATTGGACATTTGAAGGTCTTAGAGATGTCGAAAATTGGCGATCTTGGGCTCGTTGGATTCGTCTCGTCGAGCCGTTCGATTCGAGTATAAGCTCGTTAAAGTCGGAGACCGTTTGGTACCTCAAATTGCGGTTTGAACCTTCCAACAGCGCTTCGGGTCCATGATTCGGACCCATTTGGGCTCGGATTGGGTTGAACTTGGTGTCGTTGGGTTCGTATTTTCGAGACGCTCAGTTTGACTGTAAGCTTGCTGAAATCAGAGTTTGGGTGCTCCCGTATTTAATTTTTAAAGTTTCCGGGCTGGGTTTTTGCCTCGAGATTCGTGCCAGATCAATATAATTTCATGATGACGTATCAATTTTAAAATTAAATAAATAAAAAACTAGTACAATTATATTATTAAAATGTTAGGTGTTAAATTAAAATTATAAATATTAATTATTAGTAATCAAAAATAAATTTATATATTGTTAAATAATGAGATTTCATATTGATATAGGTTAGAGTTCTTAATTTCTCCTCTCTCAACAACAACAACAACAAGCCTTTATCCCACTATGTTGGTTTGTCTACATGAATCTTTTTTCTCCATTGTGTCTTATTAAGGGTTAAATTTTCATCTAAATCTAATAAAGAAAGGTCATTTCTAATATTTTCTCACCAAGTCTTTTTAAGTCTATCTCTATCTTTCTTAATATAAGTCAAATCTAATACATCTACAATTTCTCCTCTCTCACATAAAATAAAGTTATATATAGGTTTAATTAAGGAGTGACTGAAGCAAGACATTATTTTTTGAAAGGGCGATGAGTACTCATGTTCTTATTCTTATAATAATAACTATGCTTCCTTTACATTGATTTTATTTAATTAATTGATATTTGATTGTTAATTATTATTATAAAATTCCAACACTATATACCCTTTTCTACTTCAAAAGAATGATTCTATTGAAATTTATAAAAGTTGCTTGATATATATATGACATGATTTAATAGAAATATTTGCATGCGCATGTTGATTAGTGAAGTACACCCTATTATGATAATGAGGACGCAATATATCTATGCCTGTAAAATGCAAAAAGTTTTAAAAAAGATTATGAAAAAGAAAATGGAAATATAAGTACCTTCATTGGTACTATTTAGATGGTGTCTCGTGTGACGATTGTATTAGTTATAGAAAATATTATGACAAATATTAGTATTACATATATACATAAGATATGATTGATGGTTATTTCAAAATTTAAATATTATTAAATAAAATTACCTTATATTTTACGGCAAGCTAGCATGCATGCTGATCAAAATGCTTTGTATTATTATAATTTAGAAGCATGATGTACTCACTGAGATGTATTATGACTCACTCTTAGATATGCAAATGTTCACTGGTATTATCTAAAGAATTTTAAATCCGTGGAAGAAGAGAGAACTTGTATTGTAGGCGTGACTGTCCAATATAATATATATATATATATATATTGAAATAGTTATGACAATTTTTATTAAAATGCATTTGATGTTTTAGTGACTATTTAAATATATTGGAAATAGTTATTGTTAGAAATTTTAATGAATGAAATTCAAAAAACTTTTTGACTACATGTTCATGCCTTGTTAGTTTGAGCCCATGGGCCGTGTCTTCACAAGACCATTGCTAAAAACTAATGATAACTAGCTAAAAAAAGATAGAGTTTAATGTAGGTAGGGGGGGGTCAAAACATTTTGAATTATAAATTTGGAAAGCTTCTAGGTCCTCTACTAGAATTAGCTTATTAATGTCTAGTAGATAACCTTTTTAGCTCATAAATTGAGGTTCATTCCCTACATTTGCTGCCCATTTGGTTCCCCCACCTAGCTCTCCTTCTCATGGCGGATTTCTCCCCCTTTTATTGCTGGTTCCGGTCCCCTTTGTGCCACTTCGGTTCCTTGCATGACTGCCGGTCCGGTTCCTGTGCAGCCCCTTCGGTTTCCTCCCTGGTTGCAATTTCCCGTGGCTGTTCCCAGCTCCTTCTTGTGGCTGTTTTATCCGGTTCCTGTGCTGCCTTTTCGAGTGCTGTTATGGAATAATTGCTAGCTGTTTGGGAGCTGTTTCTGAACTGTTTTTGGACTGTTTCTGGACTGATTGCTGGTTGGCTGTTTTGGGTGGCTGAAGTTGTCCTTTGGGCTCTCTTTTGGTGGTTGTTTGGTTCCGCTTTCTTTACCTATATATAGGAGATATTTGTGGCTGTTTTATAGGATGTTATGTGGTTAATTTTTGGATCTAAACCTGCGGGTTTCTAGGATAGCTTGCGAGCTATGCCTTTTCTTTCTTTCTTTGCCTAGGAAAGCTTGCGAGCTTGTCCTCCACTTCGTATCGTCTTCTAACCTCTTTCTTCTCTCCGCAAGTTCGACGTCACTTGTATCTTTCTTCTCGATCCAAGAAAAGCAAGTTTAGGTGTGTGTGTTTGTGTCAAAGTTTGTAAGAGTCTTTTATCTTATAAAAAGTTATATTTTGTCGTATTTTGTTTAGTTTAGAGTATTTCATGTAACTTATTATTATCCTAGGAAGAGTGTCTTTTGCTTGCAAAAAATCAGGGGTTTTCCTAATTTTTTGCATGCATCAGAGTTCCTCCCAAATCTAAACCAAATTATATATAAAAAAAACTAATTGGTTGCTTTTTGGCACAGTGATCTTTGCCATGAAGCATAATTTCAAACTTTGAAATTAAGAACTCTAAATCGCCATTACAATTTTTTAACCATGATTCAATTATTTTCAATGAGCATCCTCTCAAGCCCTAGACTGCTATGTACTTTTCCATTTTAATTGTGCACGTTTTTGATATTGAAAGCTTTTAACTGGCTAATTATCAATGAAATAATAGTGGAACTAAAATCAGAAGCCTTAAGCATATAAATGGATGTCAATGTTATGGTCGAATATTTATAATTCCTTTTTGTTCCATAATTATATTATGTTGTTGGCTTCATTTATTTTTATAGAAAAATCTCAAAATAATTCCCAAATTATTTGTATACGGACAATTTAGTCCCAGAATATCATGTTGTCTCAATTCAGTCCCTCAACTATACAAAATTGATCTAAAATAGCCCCTCATCTTTTAATTGTGATATAGAATTGAACCCAATTTAGTCCCTTGACTTTACAAAATTAATTTCAATGTAGTCCCAAATGGATCATTTTGGATCAATTTATATAGTCGAGGGATTAAATAAGAGCAACGTTGTACTCTGGGACTAAAATGACCATCTATGAATAGTGGGGGGATTCTTTTGAAATTTGACCCTTTATTTTTAAAATTCTTTGGTGATTATACAACATATGTATTGCTTAACCTTCCTCTGGAATGAAGGTGCATGTTTGTAGAACTTTTTTTTTTTCCTTATTTTATTGGTCATGCGTAGCTCTCACTGGTTGCTAAACATCTACTTCTTGGCACTATTTCCTCAGCATTTGAAACTTTTTACTTTTGTATTAACCTGAATCCAAATGTTCTTTCCAGGGAGTTGGAACCAATTAGGCTGCTAGGCTTGCAGTTGCTTGGGAAATTATTAGTTGGAGTTCCTTCTGAGAAGAAAGGGACCAAGTTTTTTAGCTTTGCAGTTGGACGCTCGAAATCCGTCTCAGAGTATTTAAGAAAAGGAGAAGCCTTGACACTGCAGCCAGTTTACTATGCAATATCTGAGCGACTTTTTGCATTCCCTCTGTCTGATCATTTGTATGCCACCTTGTTTGACGTTCTTCTTGGTGGAGCTAGCCCAAAACAGGTATGTTTTGAAGATTTTCATGTTGGTTAGTTTGATATAGGAAGCGCCTTATTCCTAATCCTTAAAGAAGCATTCAATTATCTTTATGGAATAATTTGATATGATTATGCTTCAAAGAGACTTTTTCATGCAGGTTTTACAGAAACGTAACCCCTCTGAAAATCCAAAGAATAAGAAAGATGGCTCAGCAGGTTTCTCTTCTTATTTTTTTGTCCCACAAATTATTGTAATCATCTTCAAATATTTGGCCAGTTGCCATGATGTTGGAGCAAGGACAAAAATATTAGGAGATTTGCTTGACCTTCTTGTGTCAGATCTTTCAAACACTGAAACTTTAATGGTAACCTTTTATCATCTTATCAAACTTCTTTATCTGGGTAGCTAATTTTAGATTAATTTTTCAAATAGGAAACTGCATGGAGTTCCTGGTTAGCAACTTCAGTGAAGCTCGTCATGTTAAATAACATTGAAAGCGAAGGAGAAGGCCAAAATGATACATCAAGGATTCATGAAATAGTACTTATAAGAAATTTGTATTGTATTGTACTTTCGCATTATCTATTTTCTGTGAAGGGTGGTTGGCACCGGTTGGAAGAGACGGTCAACTTTTTTCTTCTTAACTATGAACAGGTATTCTTGTAATCATACCCTATTATTTTACTATTTGGTCATTTTCTTTAATGGGATACCCCTTCACTGAAATCCGCTAACTTTAGGGAGGAGTATTGCATGCTAATTTGCTACGAGGTATATTGGAAGACTTATTTGGTAGTCTCCTTGAAGCGTCCTCAGATGAAAACATATATGCTTTGCAACCCTGTCGAGACAATTCCTTGTACCTTATCAAATTGGCTGACGAACTTTTAATCAGTGAAAGTGGTGATAAAATTCTGGTATTCAATCAAAGTTATTTTCCTTATAAAATTATTTAGTTTGTCTTTTACAAAGTCCTTATGTTTTTTTAAATTAAAATTCAAAAAGTTGCTAAATTGCTGAAGCTTGTTGTTTGTAGTTTCCTGAAATTTCTCTCTCTTCAAACGCCTCATCCAACCTTCAACATGTGGAGCACCAGAAATGCATAAGCTCTGCTGTTCTTGAGATACTGAATCCTGAGTCTGAAGATAAGCTTCTTAGGTATGGGTTCAAGTGTTTAGTGGCATATGAATTTACTGTTTCATGAAATTAAAACTTGCTACGCCATGGATGTTCGCATTTGAAATCTTTTTATGATGTTCCATACTTTGACCAGGCCTTCCATTTCGAACCACCAAGTGACCTCAAACCCCTGACACAGATTCATAATGTTGTTTCGCTTTATCTCTAGCTAACAGTATGTGTTAATCACTTTGTAATCGTAGCACAGGTTTTGCCACACAATACATTAAGTATCATTATTGGTCCTAAGTTTGAACCCTAGCATACGCAATTAGAAGCTCAAGGTGCAGAGAATAACATATGACTTTGAAGAGGGAAGGTTAATTGCTATCATTTCTATTGTAATCCGCTTTATATAATGAGTCATGGGCTTGCATTTTGCTAAAGTTGACCAAGTGTGGATTTTCCACGGTTTTGTAGCTCCATCAAAATGTTTGATGCAAGAGTCAGCCCAGTAGGCATAAGTGGCCACTTTTGCCCAAGTGCTCCTGGAATCCAGTGTGTAGATCAATCTTCAAGAAGACCACTAAACTGAATATTATGTCCAAGGTTTTTGTCAAGTCGATGCTTGACTATGATTTTATAGATGGAACAGAAGCAATGTTAGAACACTTGAAGAACTTTAACCCTCCCATATGGATCTTTTGTGCACTTGGTTGTATAACTGCCACGCAAGCTCAGATATTTTAGCATTGTTCATCTTATACTGTGGATAGGAATCAATAATTTGTAAAGATGAGTCATATTCTACCCATAGTCACTATTCCTTTTTTTTTTGTTTCCTTTGATTGGTTGTTCATTAAAAGATCATGGCTTGACCTTGGGTGATATTTCTCCATAGAAAATATCCTTCGTCTCATCCTAGCTAAGTCTTTTGTAATAATCTTTGTCATTTAAATGTTGGCCTATTTTAATCTACATAACTAGCCTGTTTGATTTTGGCAAATCCCTCTCCTAGTATTCAACATATTGTATCACATAATTGACATTTTTTGTTACCCACAATCAAGGGAAGTTGGGATCAAGCTTTTCATCTAAAAAGGTGTTTTAATTTTTCAACTTTTATTTACATCATTGTTTATTTCTTTCCCAATATGCCAAACATATAGTCAAAACCTCAAGGCTACTAATTTTACACAGTTTAAGGTCCTGTAACTAGAGCATTAGATGAACTATCTACATAATAAACCACCTCTCCTAGGTATGGTATCTCAAAGATATATTTTTTTTACTGTCTTATATTTGCAACTACTACAACAACAACAACAACATCAAGCCTTTATCCCACTATTTGGGGTCGGCTATACTTTTTCTTCATTGTGTCTTGCTAAGAGGCAAATTTTCATTTAAATCTAATAAAGAAATGTCATTTCTAATAATTTTTTATTGAAGCCTTTTTCGGTCTAGTCTACCTTAAGCTGAAAGGTTTACCTAAATGATGTAATTAATTTAACGTGCGGTGGTTATAATTTTGGTTTTTACTTTATTTTCTTGTTATTGCTGGTTCATATATTTCAGTTCAAATTTTGAAGAATTGTTATTCTGTAATCATTTATAGGACTCAGTGGAGTTATAAAACTATTTCTGAGGAAGGTGGTGTTATAGAAGATGACCGCTGGGTTTTGTATGAAAAACTATGGCATTTGTTAAGCGAAATAAATGGAAGGGGACCAAGCAAGGCATTGCCAAAAAATACAACTTTTAGTGGGCCAACTTTTGGTCAACGGGCTCGGGGATTGGTCGAATCACTGAATATTCCTGCTGCAGAAATGGCTGCTGTAGTTGTTTCTGGAGGAATTGGCACCGCATTGGGTACTAAACCAGGCAAATATTTTGATAAAGCGATCCTTTTAAGAGGAGAGAAATGCCCAAGGATTGCATTCCATCTCTTAATCCTGTATCTTTCTAAGGCTGGACTAGAAAGGGCATCACGATGCGTTCAACAGTTCATTTCATTGCTTCCTTGCCTTCTTTCATTTGATGATGATCAAGGCAGGAACAGACTTCATTTTCTGATTTGGTAACTTTCTGTATATCAAATTGATGGCAAATAAATTTATGCGTTATTTCATTCCACATCTTGCTCAACCCACTCTTTCTTTTTGTTTTGCATTCTAATGTGATACCTATCTATGGTACAGGTCTCTACTCGCTGTGAGATCACAGATTGCAATGCTTGATGATGGGGCTCGTTTCCATGTTATATCTCATTTGATTCTTGAAATAGTGAACTATGGAAAGTCAATTCTTGCCACTAGTATTTTGGGTAGGGATGATTCATTTGAAGTCACCAACAATACAAAAGAGGCCGGATTTATTCTTAGTTTGATTCAAAGGGAGAGAGTTCTGGCAGCGGTATACTAATTCTTTCTCTGTTTACATTTCCAATTCACTCAAAAATGTTTTTGGGTGATCTTTGCATACGTTCTGATCTGAATGGTTTATTAAAGACACTAAATATGTTCCTTGATTGTCTGACTTAACCTCCCTGCAAGGGAATTAAAGTGTCTTGCTATTATACTCTTATTTCCCCAAGGGAATGCAACCTTAAAAACACTGATTTTTTGCTAAACCTTTCATCATGTGTGTTGGGCAGCTTATATGTGAAAATATTGGTTCATCTGCAGGCTACTGATGAAGCGAAATATATAAAGGCGACAAAAGATGATCGCATAAAGCAGTTGCAGGAACTTCATGCTAAAATAGATGAGTGTTCTCTTGCAGAACATAACCAGTGGAAGGCCTTTGAAGAAGATATGACATCTACTATGAATATGATTGTTTCATTGGATGATGGCAGAAAGGCTGCTTTTCAGCTTGCTTATGATGAGGACCAGCAAATTGTTGCTGTAAAAAGTTTCCCAAAAAGTTTCCCTTTACGTTCAGCAATTTTTTTTCACCTCCACCATTTTATGCTTTGATAAAAAATGATAATTTCTAGCAATTGTTTTTTACTTTATAGGATAAGTGGCTCCATATGTTTCGCACATTAATTGATGAGAGAGGTCCTTGGTCTGCATGTCCTTTTCCAAACAATAATGCAACTCACTGGAAGCTTGACAAGACTGAAGACAATTGGCGACGTAGACCAAAACTGAAACGCAATTACAAATTTGATCAAAAACTTTGCTATCCTCCAACAAATAAATCTTCTGATCAAGCCTACCAACAAATTGGAGAATCCAGTAGCAGTAAAGGGGGCAATTTCCCTGAACAGATGAAACGCTTTCTTTTAAAAGGGGTGCGTGGTATAACTGAAGAAAGCCCTGTTGATCTAACTGATGAGCCGGTGGACTTGAATTCAGTGAAAGATCCTGATCACAATCGTTCTTCTGAAAACCAGGTTTCAGATTATATAAAAGATGGCAAGGATGATACCGATATTATGCATGATAAGAAAGATTTACAATCTGTCTCTGCAGAGACTGAGTCAGATGAGGTACTTATTTGTCTTACTATGTGGTCAACATACAAAATGGTTGTACTTACAGCTCATTTTTTTCCCAGGTTCACTTGTCAAATTCTTGTGTTCTTATTTCACCAAAAAGAAAACTTGCAGGGCATTTATTCGTCATGCAAAAATTTCTACATTTTACTGGTCAGTTTTTAGTTGAAGGAACAGGTGGTTCTTCTGTTTTAAACAAGTTTTCTGACGGGAACCTCTCAGATCCTACAAAATCTGATCAGCTGAGTGGGGCAGACAAGCAGAAAGAAAGTAAGGTAATTACGAGTTCTGAATCAAGCTATGGAAAGGGTAATGTCTTTGATGTTCTGGCCACAGACGATTTGCTAAAGAATAAACCCAGTAAAGTAAAGTTGCACCGGAGGTGGAATATTTCAAAGGTAGATAACTTTGAACCTGTTTGTAATGTCTTTCTTTGCATTCAAGCGTAATATAATTTTTCCCTGTATTCATTTGTTAATTTGTGATACTGTCAGATAAAATCTGTCCATTGGACTCGATATTTATTACAGTACACTGCGATAGAGATCTTCTTCAATGATTCAGCTGGTCCTGTTTTCTTCAATTTTGTTACACCAAAAGATGCGAAGAATATCGGTACATTACTAGTTTCTTTGAGGAATGAATCTTTGTTTCCAAAAGCAAGTTCTAAAGTTAGAAGTGGATTAATCTCTTTTGTTGACCGGCGTGTGGCACTTGAAATGGCTGAAACATTCAGAGAGGGTTGGAGAAGAAGAGAAATCAGTAACTTTGAATATTTGATGCTTCTTAATACACTTGCTGGGAGATCCTACAATGATTTGACCCAGTATCCTGTTTTTCCCTGGGTTTTGGCTGATTATTCATCTGAAAAACTTGATTTCAATAAGTCTTCTACTTTTAGGGATCTTTCAAAACCAGTTGGTGCTCTGGACACCAAACGTTTTGAGGTATTGTCATACTAAAATCATGATTGAACTTTCTAGTTTATTCATTTAGATCAAAATCTTTTTACAGATTCTTACATTTAAATCATTGTGTCTCTTTTGAATGTAGGTTTTTGAGGACAGATATCGTAACTTTTCTGACCCTGATATTCCTAGGTCGTCATTTTTATGCTTTTGAGAATCTATCTTTTTCTTACTGAAAAGAATGCTGCATATGCTAATGGAACTGCTAATGAATTTGCAGTTTTTACTATGGTTCACACTATTCTAGCATGGGAATTGTACTTTTTTACCTGCTTAGAATGGAGCCTTTTACTGCATTACACCGTAACTTGCAGGTATTGTGACTCATTTTTATTTTTGTTTTCCTTGCAAGCCACATTTTTTTTTCTATTCTTTATGCTTTGTGTTCCTCTGTCTATCGGTATGACATAAAGCTTAATTAGTTTTAGTGTTGGTCAGGGTGGAAAATTTGATCACGCTGATCGTCTTTTTCAAAGCATAGAAGGAACATACCGTAATTGCCTTTCCAACACAAGCGATGTGAAGGAACTCATACCAGAATTCTTCTACATGCCTGAGTTTCTAGTTAATTCAAATTCATATCATTTTGGTGTGAAACAAGATGGGGAAGCAATAGTTGATGTTGTTCTTCCTCCGTGGTCCGAGGTACTCTTAATATTGTTGTCTTAGGTCTTCCGGGAAAACCTTCTTTTATTCATTGATCTGCTATTGCTGATCTGACATGCTCTAAAATGATTAGCTGTTTTCCCACTTTTTGTTAACCCCCAACATCTTTCTTTCTTTTATTTACAACCGTTGGATGTTCTATAAATGACTTGGAAAGAGTCTTACACTGCTGAACTCTGTATTCTCGTTTCATTGCGGTTTACTCTTCAATATTCTGTTGAACTCAAAAAGATGCTAGTACTCTTCAAAAGTGTATTTGATGGTTTCTACCCTCTAGTCTTACTTTCCATATGTACCTGCAATATTGAGCAATAAGAGTAGGAATAATTCTTTTCTAGGCATTTGTGAAATTTTCAGTACAAAAATATGTACTTGGAGGAAGATCACTGCTGGCATCTCCTTTTTTAAATATTATTACTTACAGCTAATGGAGGTCGTGCATTACACATCCATGTAAATGCACTTGACTATTAAAGAAATTCTTTCATCGTAATTTTTTTTTTTAATTAAATGCACCAAATGTGTGTATACTTCCAAGTAGAAACTTGCTTTATTAGGTGTTCAAGTTTGGAGACCTAACTTTTTATATTGATTTTCAGTATTTAGTTAGTGATAAACCTTTTCATATTAGTTTTTTTATTGCTTCAGTGGTTCAATTAAAAAAATAGTTAAAATAATTGATGATGATAAGAAATGACAGTAAGGTATGGAATTGGGGACTTGGATAGGTGTTGACATAACAGGAAGATGTTGTAGTCCATGAATGCCTTTTGTTGATTGGTCATTCGATTGAGGTGTTTCTACTCCCCCCACCCCCTTCTATTCTGCTTCCTTGGTTATCATCCTCCTGAAAATCATGAAGCTTCTAATTCAACTATTCAAGTCATTCATAATCCCAAAATAAGTAGGATGGCCAAAACAATAGTTTAGAAATAATCTGTTCTGTTTGTTTCTTTATAGTGTTGACAACTTCTTGTTTAACTGCTTTTCTATTTCTTCTAACCTGTTGTAGTGTTTAGATGTGCTTTTTGAGGTCATTTATACATTTACTTAATTCCGCTTAATTTTGAATAAAACAATGATGCAGGGTTCTCCTGAGGAATTTATCTACAGAAACCGAGAAGCCCTAGAGAGTGAATATGTGAGTTCTAATTTACATCATTGGATCGATTTAATTTTTGGTTACAAGCAGAGGGGAAAGCCAGCAGTAGAGGTATGTTCCAATGCAAATTCTATGATTCTAATTGGCCTTTAGGGCTTAGTTAATTTATTTGTTATATTTTTTATTGATATCAGGCAGCAAATGTATTCTATTACTTGACTTATGAAGGTGCTGTTGATTTGGAGAGCATGGAAGATGCATTGCAAAGATCAGCAATTGAAGATCAAATTGCAAATTTTGGTCAGACACCAATTCAGATTTTTCGTAAAAAACACCCCAGAAGGGGACCTCCTATGCCAATTGCTCGTCCATTATATTTTGCTCCTTCATCAATAAATTTGACCACCGTAATTCCAAATGTAACTAATTCCCCATCTGCTATAATTTTTGTTGGGTTGCTGGAGGCAAGCATTGTGATCGTAAGCCATGGCCTCTTCCTTTCAGTAAAGTTGTGGTTGACAACACAGTTACAATTTGGTGGAAACTACACATTTTCTGGATCCCAGGTTCTTTCAAACACTCCTCTAGATCTTATTCATTTATTATGTAGGACAATAAGAATGAAAGGGTTATAGAAAATGACAGTTACATAGGTCTCGTTAATATGAAGTTTTGTGCCAATCGATTTTTCTCTAAAAGGGATTTTAATTATGATCCATCAGGAACCATTTTTTGGGATTGGCTCTGATGTTCTTCCCACTCGGAAAATTGGTACTTCCTTGGCCAATGACATGGAATATGGGATACAATGCTTGGTAACGATGCAAAATCTCAATGAAAATTATCTGATCTTATGTGGCAATTGGGAAAATAGTTTCCAGGTAATATCTGTGCATGATGGAAAGATTGTTCAGAGCATCCACCAACACAAAGATCTTGTTAGCTGTGTTGCAGGTATTTCTTTGTGTTTAATAGCCTTCAGTTGGTGATTAATTACTTTACTATCACAAAGTACTCTATCCAGCCTCTACCATTGTTTTTTTTGTTTATCGCACACTATCATGTTGAACACCTACTTGAAGTGTGATATCTCAAAAGAGACAATACTGGTATAGTCAAAGAAAAAATTTCCGAAGATTATCTGATGGAAGATGAATGTTAAGTGATTATGGGAAAATATGCTTCTGATTTTTTTTCTATGTAAACTTTCAGATAGGCAAGGTCCGGCAAGGATCCATCTAGTATTGATCTTTTTAATAAAAAGGACAGGCCTATTCACTGTTAATGGAATGGTTGCTTGTAACATCTTATAGAAACTCTCTAACATCTTATAGAAACTCTCTAACATCGCTTGTATGGACCTTTCCTGTGTTAGAGGGTCCATACACCTACTGTGTATGGTAGTTTAAACTAATTAGTTTTATGATTCTCGGAATCATTTTATCTGTGGATATTGTCCAATGTCTATATTTTGACAATATTTTTCACTTCGTATATATCCAAATGTATTTTCCATGGCTATACAATTTAATTGTATGCCTTGTGGAAATGGGCCTTGCATTTGGATGATTGTTTGGTGATTGCGAAGCAGTAAAATCTCACTGGCATAGACTTTATGGCTAGTTTTGAGAAGCACACTGCTTTTAGATGACACTAATTGGTTCCATCCGAATAATTTTTGCCACACGGCTCTGTAACTTTAACAGAAGCAAGTTGAAAATCTTCATAGATGATATTTTTATTTTTTTATTTTTCACTTTAATGATCAGTGTTGTTTCATTTGATTCTGAAAGATAGGGTGCATTAATTGTTGCTTCAGTGGCCATGTCTAAAAATTGAGACCTATTTTGCAGTGACATCTGATGGAAGCATTCTTGCTACTGGAAGCTATGACACAACGGTCATGATTTGGCATGCTTATAAAGGGAGGTCCACAGAAAAGAAGGGAAGAAACGTGAATTCTGACCTAAGAAAAGACCATGTTATCAGTGAAAACCCATTTCATATTCTTTGCGGACATGATGACATCATCACATGCTTATTTATTAGCTTAGAGCTTGATATAGCTATTAGTGGATCTAAAGATGGAACTTGTGTTTTCCACACATTACGGGAGGGAAGATACGTGAGATCCATACAACATCCTTTGGGTTGTTCCATATCAAAACTAGTTGCTTCACTGCATGGGCGCATGGTGATTTATGCTGATGACGATCTAAGTCTCCATATGTACTCTGTTAATGGAAAGCATATTGCAGCTTCAGAATCAAATGGCCGTTTGATCTGCATGGAGCTCAGTGGCTGTGGTGACTTCCTCATTTGTGCAGGTGATCATGGACAGATTGTTCAACGCTCAATGCATTCTCTTGAGGTCCTACGAAGGTTTGAAGGAATTGGTAAAGTTATAACATCATTAACTGTGACCCCTGAAGAGTGTATTTTAGCTGGAACCAAAGATGGGAGTCTTCTTTTGTACTCCATTGATAACACTCAGCTTCGGAAAGGAAATCTTTCTCGAAATGGAAAGTGAAAACTTTCAGCCATGGGATAGATTTTGCATGCAGCTGAGGAAATTATGTTAATGGTTTTCTGGGGATCCATGAAGGTATCCTTTAAATTATGGCACTTTGTTTCCTTACCCTTTTTGCTTGGGAATCCGTCTAAAATATTTTATTTAAAACCATTGTCCTTATGATTAGCCAACATATTCTCTCTTTTGTATGCTTCGCTTCTCCATGTATTTTGTTCTGCTGATAAAGTCATTGTGTATTACTAGGGATATTAAGCTCCACGGTTCACTTGTTCCTGAAATTTAGTTATAAACCTTTTTTTTAGTTTGTTTTATTGTAAGACTTTATAATTTCAATTGGGTTCCTAAAATTGCAATTGCAAATACATGCCACCTTTCCATTATGCTGCCAAGCATTTTAGTTAAGAAGCATGAGGGAAATTCATTGCCGCTATTTTCAATACCTTTACTGAGCTTCCCATGTACCTGATTGTATTGTTGATATTATTGCCGTCTTTTCAAATTACAAAGCTTTTCAATCTGGTTTTTCTCATTCAAATCTCCAGAACTAGCCACGTTTATCAAACCTTGCAATTTCTTAAGAAGTAAATTAGGCCATATTGAGGTGACATGTGAGCCAGAAATATCTCAACAGAGATTTCATCTGTGAGGGTGGTAAACTGAGATATGTCTGCGTAATTCAGAGGAAGTTTGATATGATTTTAGTTTGACCTAGAGTCACTCATGTTCTTGATGTTTTTTCATGCTTTGTATGCATAGTTAGCTTTAGTTTTAATGATGGAGAAGCACAACGCAGAAGAATGGCTGAGAAATGTGGATGAAGATAGGAAACTGTGAGACCTTTTACCTCATTCGGGTCTCTAACACTCTGAGGAAGAGGGATTACATCACACACATTCAAACAGAGTAGAAGACGGAACTATAAAATTCATGGATACGGGAAACTTCAGGATGCCCCATAGAGGAAAGATCCTATGGTTAATTACATCTCAAGTATTTATCACTTGAGAATACTTTTGATTAAACTAGTGATTTTCTTTGTTTTGAAAATCATCAAAATATTGGCTAAATTTTTTATTTTAAATTCCATGAAATTCTTATTTAAAGAGTTGTGGTCTTTAAGAATTTCAAAGGAAGAGAGATCAACTTTGATTAGAATTCTTGGAATGAGAGTGAATGGGAGAAAGAGTGGAGTACTTGACTATGAGGAGAAAACTCAGAGGTACTCAAAACTATCATATATTGAGTTTTACATTTTAGAATCTAATTTTTGTTTAAATTGACAATTTTAATTAGAATGTTGGGACTTACATTCCAACAACACGTCTTGGAAGAAATGCCCGGAAGGTGAGGGCTTATGAGGTGGTTGAAATCAACCTTGCACCATTTATATTTTTAATCTTTGAGGGTCCCCAAATATCACTATGGATCAAGACAAAGAGTTTAGAAGGTTTGTAAGGAATAATTAGGTAAGATGATTTGGTATGTTTAGCCAATTGGCAAGTTTCGTATTTGAACAAACTTAGATTTTTATTAATAAATAAATTGGGAAAAAGCTTTTCAATATACATGAATTTTGGATGACCTAACATATAATGCCACATGATAATCTCTTTATCTTGATTGACTCTAGAATCATTCTCAGCAAAGTGACTCATAATAGGATGATTCTTAGCAGCAATTAAGGATTTGGATGTCTTGATGTAGTATAACCCAGAACACATCTCAACACTGTCAATCTTCTTCTCCGAATCTAGTTCCTAAAAAATGCATACATTATTGGAAAAAAAATTGTGAAGCAATTACTATCACGAGTCAATTTACTAATGGAAATCAAATTGCACTCAAGATTGGGCACATAAAACATCGATTTAAGGGTGATAGCTTATGTGACAAAAGCGGAATCAGTTCCCAAACTTTGGATGTTGAGCAATCTGCAATCTTAACTTCTTGATTTGAATGATAAGGTTGATAGTCTTGAAGAAGTGTAATGTATCATGTCATGTGATTTGATGCTTCTTAGTCAATAACCCAAAGTTTTGACTGTTTTATACCTGAGTGAGCGTGTAAGCTGGTAGTAGGTTTTGGAGATTGTTGGTTCGTGATGTTGTTAAGCAGCAACTTCAGTATCTCTAAATGCTCCTTTATGAAATGAATGGCTTCAGCTTTGACGGATTGATTTTGCGTGGTGTTGATAGAGTTTGCCTTTCTTTCTTATGCTGATTTCTTTGCCTTCCAATCATCTGGTTTTCCATAAATCTTCCAACACGTATTCTTTGTATGTCCTGGTTTGGCACAGTGATCACAACATGGTCTTCCTCCCTTCTTTTGATGTCAATTTTCAACATGTGAGGGGTTTTGATTGCTGCGGACAATAAGAGCATTTCCTTATTCAGTCTTTGGAGATCCTTATAGGCCTCCCAACATGACCTTTCTTCTGCTCTCTTCCCTTCGAACTTCAAAAAAGGCCTCCTGGGGGAGGTTGGTTCCCATGATATCCTTCCTCTGACGCCATCCAAGTTCTTGTTCAAACCCATCAAGAATTTCAATATTCTTTTGTCTCAATAATCTTCCAGAGAAGTGTGTGTTCTTCCAGGCATTTCCATTGATAACATTAAAACATATCTGATTGTTGCCAATAATGGGTTAGAGTATTAAAATATTGAATTACCAGCAGGTCCTCTTTTCGACAGTTGTGAAGGATGGTCTCAATTGTGAATAGCTCGATAGTGTTGTCGGAACTGGAGTAGGTCTCTTTAACGGCCTCCCATATTTTTTGGGCCGTCTCTTAAAGAAGAAAGTTCTCGCAAATTTCTACATTCATAGAGTTAACGAGCCAAAACATGATCTAATGATTCTTTGCTTTCCATTTTGTGTTGGAAGGGTTTGCGTTGGTATAGGGGCCTCAAAAGTGAGATAGTCTTCTTTCCCTCTCCCGCAAATAAACATTCTCACCAATTGAGACCATTGCAAAAAAAACTTACCCGTTAAATCTGTGATTTGTGATGAGAGGAGGAAGAGGAAAAGAGTTCTCTGCAGATCCAGAGTTCTCGGTGTTTAAACCAGTAATATTTGGGTAGGAGGATGAGATCTCGCTATCCATGGATATGGTTTAGTTTCCTCGGTTTAAAAAGAAGATTTATTTTAGGCAAGGCTTAACGGTGCTTGAAGAGTATCGGCAGGATGATGGAGAGTTGCTGCCGGCTGAAGGTTGGAAGAAAGGGAGGAAGGTTTGTCGCCGATACTCAGAGAAGACTTAGGGTTTTCCTAAGCTCTGATATCATGAAGAAATTGTTTAGGGGAAATTGAATTCGAATTTTATTCCTTGGAATCATTATATATATATATATATATATATACACTCTAGGAGAATAAATAGAAAAAGAACGACATTTAATTTAATTAATTAGAATAAATAGAAGATGAAAGTTACTTAATCTAATTGATTCTAATAATTATATCCCACATATCTTGGAATCAATCCCACGGATTTTGGTGTCTGAAGAGGAAATCTCCAACTGCAGCCCACGGATTGTTAACCTATCAAAGCCATGGGCTCCCTTCTTGCCGTGTGATTCAACATGAATGACATTTAATTGAGAATAAATTGAGAATAAATGGAACTTCGTTGAGTTCTTATTCCTTAGAAGTTTGTAGTTTTTAAACTACATAGCATTTTCTTGGCAACATTTCCAATAGAATTTTGGTGTTGTTTGGTAATATGAAAAGTTGATGGAAGGTGAATGTGACATTTGAAGTGATTTATGGAATGCTGCTAATCAGTTTGGAATGCTGCCAATCAGTTTGGCATGCAGTTGTTTCCTTCCCATCATTTAATGTCATCTGATGGCCTCCTCTTAATAAAAAAAATGTATGTCCTCACTTTACACTATTTGTGACCTCTGGAATTTAGTAAATCCCTGTTTAACAGAAAATTATTAGGTTCGGACATTCACTAAAAATTTCACGTGGTGTGCACTTTAGTTGCGTTTTAACTGCGCTTTAACTACGCTTTATCTGCCCTTTAGTTTCGCTTTTTGTGCGCTTAGCTTAAAATTTCGCGGACACATTAAACATATTGAATATTCACGTGTCCACTCAATGTGTCAACATTTTATTGACTTCCGGACGTATCTCTATGTCCGGTGTCCCGACCTAATAATTTTCCCTGTTTAGCAATGAGGCTTCCAGAAGCTTGCTTGTCATTATCCAATTATCCTAAAGTATTTGCCTTAGATTTATCATGTCAGTAAATAAGGATGCATATGTAAAAATAAATGGTACTGCGCAGTAAATGCATAGCAAGGAGAATTTCATTGGAATTTTATTGAAGCTGACTGCAATGCCTTCTCTCGGTTGTTACTATGAAATCTAATGCTCGAAATTCACAGGTGAACTCATAAAATTGTCTCGAATTCCATTTCTTTAGTGAAATGCATTTGCACTATTTTATTTTACAGCATCAAAAACGTATTATGATGCTATTTAGCCGTTCTATAAACATTCTTTTCTTCTGTTTTTCAAAGCAATTCATTAAAACTTTGTTTTCGCTTGATAAAATGACTGATGAGTCTCTCCAATCTTCATAGGTAAAATTTGGAAAATGAAAGCAACTTTTTAGGCTTGGATTGCCCTTGAAAACTGCCTTTGTTAAAAGTTTCTTATGGACATAACGGTTAAATAAGTAAGCTTTTTAGTTGAGATGGAGCTTCTGGAAGAGAAACATGATGGATCATTTAGTGTTATGGTAACTTGTGATCCTGGCCAGTCCTGATCATTATAAGATTGGCTGGCTTTGCAGGACTCTGGAACCACAGATAGCACTGACCACATACACTTCATGGGATTGCTAACCACAGAGAGTTGAAAAATGGTTCTAATACAAAATTGTACAGTCAATTCTTCAGTCACCTGTATATTTTCATTACTTTGTTGGTACACTTGTATAATTCTTTTCTTTTTAGCTACTCATGGTTTTCTATCAGACTGTAAATGTATTCTTTGGCGCCTTCTTTCTGAACATTTATTATGTTAATGTTCAATTAATTCTATATGCAGGCAACTCGAAAGAACATGTTAAACTTCTGAGTTCTGATCAAGGATTGTTTCATAGATGTTTTCGTCTGGTTTCTTTTTCCATCTCTGAAAAGCACTAATTTGTCTCTTCAGCCAAGTTGAACTTATGAGCTGTAATCAATAACTTTATGAACTGATTTTATTTGTGGATGAGCTAGAAGCCTAAAACCATACATTGTGTGGAGATTTGGGTCACTTCAGTTTCGTTTGGGACGGTTTTTTTATTGTTTCGTAAGGCAGTTTTTTAGGACAAAATTTAATTGTTTTCTTGCTGCTTCTTAGAGTTATTTTTTAGTATAATTTTTTTATATATATATACTAAAAAATTATTTTAAGAAGCAGTAAAAAAGTCATTCAAAATAAAGCCTTCATCTCAGTTTTAATATATTTTGAATTTTTTATATGGAAAGCATTGTTCAATCTTTAATTAACTTTATGCAGGCTACTCAGTGAGGACAAGATAAATATGCATAACACAATTACATGCTTTAACAATATCTACAATTACGAACATTAAAGGCTTGCAATATTTTGCATTAACTTCAATAAAGATATTTCTAAAGTAAAGAAAAATGATGGAGATTATCCATAACATTATAACTAATCAAGAAAAATGATATTGTAGCCAGCTTTTAAAAAGATGTATAAAATTTGGATAAAATGGGATAACTATTGATTTGAAAAGTTAATGCAAATATTGGACTATATATTTTCTTACAATATCAGGTGTTATTCAACTTAATTCTTGATATAATATCAACATATAGTAGCATAACAATCACTTCTCCTATAGGTTTTGTGGAGGTTAGCATTCGCATGAAAATATGAGATATGATACATTTGTGGGTGCTAATAAGGGCATTTGCATTAATCAAAAGCATTAAAATCATCATGAAATGATTAGGTAGTCATTTTAAAGAATTGATACTTGTGCAGATTAATATGAACTTGTTCAAGATAGAATCTAACATTACATTATTTTTTCTACAAAGAATTCTTGGTTCTTGGAAAAAATGAAGATTCGTTTTTATTTATTAAGTGAGAGGTATCATTAGAGCATTCCATAAATGAAATAAAAGTATTATAACAAATTACCTAAACTAATATTTGTATGCTTTAAAACACTATTAAAATATTAAAAATAGTAATAATTAATGAAAAACTTGCATAATATTATGCAATTCATATCTTATATATTCATGCTTCCTTAGTAGTAATTATTATTTTTTAAATAATAATGATTGCCCCCTCTCTTGCATTTGCATGAAGCCCTAGATGACATGAATTTCAAAACATCCAAGTGGGACTAATATGATTTCCCTTTTATGTGGTAGTGTAAGATCAAAGTCGGGCTTTACCTCTTTAAGGTTTAAGCTGTAAGTACCATCACTATCACTCATCTTATATTTAGGCATAAGGAAGTATCATAGTAATATGCTATATTCATGTCATAGATATAATATTTTTGTTAATGTCCTTTATTTTGATGTCATTAGTCTTCACCCTAATCAACTGCTTTGTTAGAAATGACAAAACTTGGCTCTATCTAAGGAGGGTAAAAATCAGGTGATTTTATCTTAAAAAAAAGAAGATAATATTTGAATAGAGTTTTAAGGAATATGGGAATATATTGTAACTAAAGGTATGATATGAATTTATGAGGCTATAGAAAATGAAGAAGTAAAGAAGACCAGATAAGTTTAAGTGGTTTGGTCAAATAACCTATGGTCATTATATGGATGTATTGTTATTTTTTTAATTGATAATCACAAAGTATTATAAGAGTTATAATTTTATAACAAATATTTAGTCTCCAAAAATTAGTCCCTTGTTTTGCTCTTGAAAATTAGTATTTATGAGTGATAAGCTTATTAATGATATTCTTGGATGATATTGGAAGTAAAATAAGAAATCATTTGGGTTAATTTATTATAGTCAATATGATGTGCTAACATCATGTGCAAAGCTTTGGAATTATTTAAATTCTTAATCAATAAGCAATCTGTTGATTATAATAATGTATTGAATATTATTTTAAATGCTTAACCAAAGACAATGAATCTTAAAATACCCATGATGAAACCATCCTTGCCTAGAGTGAAACATCATGGTTAAAATTTCTCCCAAGATTGAGATATCTTAGCCAAGGGGGATTACTTTAGTTGCAATAGAATTTCAAGAATTTGTTAGCCTTTGAAAACTTTCTCTAAAACTAAATTCTAAACATGAAAATATTTTTTCAATCTTTTTGAAATGGCTCTCCTTGAGGATTTGGCTAAAAGAATGGAGATTCAAATATAAAAAGGTATTTATAGATCCCTCTGAATTTTAAACACCTTTATTCATATAATATTGAAAAGGTTATTTAGGGTGTTTCGATGAAAATGAACACTTTGTCTATAATGGAAGAAATGGTATGTATCATTGCTAAGAAAATTGTAGTAGTAGATGTAGAAGGTATTACATAGAAGGAAGATAAAAAGAATATTTCTTTATATATCAGTAAGGAAAATAGTGTTGAGAAAGGAATGATTCCTTTGGACATTGGTCATGGGAGATGATCTAGAACTATTATAGGAGATAATTAAAGTTGAGAATGTACAGCATTAAGTGGCATATAGTGTCATTGTGGAAACTAGCAGATTGCCATCAATAGAGAGGCCAACATAAGTTACTAGCACTAGTGTCATCAACCAGGAGATCTGATAAATTGGGCAAACTCTGAGCAAATATAGTAGTGTTGTGGGCAGAGATAAGGAATACACCAATAAAGAATCAACCAAATAGGGGAGTTAATGGATACAAACTTATTGTTCCAATTTGGGTGGGGCATGTTTTAGTCAGATGCAATTAGAGAGCACAAAGGATTTAGTCTCTTTGACAGATACCAACTTAGTAGAAGGTGGTTGAAATGTACACTTTCAAGTAGAAGGCCATCATAATTAAGTAAATATTCATTAGGAGTTTGACTTATTCAAATTGTTGAGCTTGATCTATTTTATAAGTCAACTCAAGTAGCTATCTTAATAGGTAACTCTAGTCTTGATTGGTGGCCACATAAAATTTTCATTTGGTGTAGAAAATTAGGTATAATAATTGATATTTTTCTTATCCCTAGCTCATCAACCTTCTCAATAGAGCACAACCATGTCACTTCACAAGTTAGATTTTGTCTTTTAAGCAACTTTTGTGATTTCTATTGACTAATGATTATATACTTCTATACCTACCTATATTTTGAGTCATATTTCAAAGTTCTACTACATATTTTAAAGTTCTACAATTATATATATCATGTGTAAAAGTTGATTTTGAATAGGTTTTATTTGACCAGTCAATGTTAGCCATGCTCTTCTTATATGTATTATTTTATTATTTTATTCAAATTAAGTTTCAACTATTGCTGATTTTGCATGTGATGATGATGACTTCCCCTCACCCTGACTACTCAATCCTTCAATGCACTCCTTAGATTATCTTTTTGGCAATCAGATGTGCACTTATTCTATATTAAGTTATTGATATACATCTTTTGGTGATTTTTTGGACACTGAGTCTTATCTTTTTATCATTTTGTTCACTTTTTTATCCTTTACATTTTCTCTTAGCCTTCTTAGGCACATTTGATTTTTAAGCTTTGTTATTTTTATAAGAACTCCTAGTTTTATTTGAGATGTTTATAAGGAATTTTCCTTTTGTAACAACTTGCCTAGTTACCTTCTCTAATGGAAATTGGTTAAGCCCTTAATTTTCCCAAAAAAAAAAAACTCAATCCAAAGAAAAATGTTAAATCCTCATATAATATGATAATCTTTATGGATTATTAATAATAAATATAGGTTATAGATAGCTACCCTCTGCAAACATCGTGGAACACCGCCAGACTAACATAACTCGGCCGCTCACTCGATTCTCAATAACTCGGTCCCTCGGGTAGCGAATTCGGGACGAATTCGCAAACCAGATTCTCTATTCTGCTGGTAGCGGGCGAGAGAGCAGGCGAGAGGTGTGGGAACATGGGGTTCGCCGGTGGCCCGGCAACGCCATGGGTCTTAGCGTTGTTGGTGATCTTGCTGACGGTATGCATCCCAGCTGTGCGATCGGAGGCTGCGAGTGGTGGAAAGGGACGATCGCTGCTGGGATTCCGAGAGACGCTCGGTAACGTCTCCTTCCAGTGCTCTCCCTCTGGTCCCTGCATCCCGTGTGAATACTCTGAAAAGGTAATTGAATGTTTCTTCGATTGGAGCTGGTTATAGTGTGTTTCCTGTTAGTCAAGTTTTTAGGGCAGTAACTTCGGCTTGGCGGATTTGATCTGGACTCCGTCCTAGGTTTTGTCACATAATTTTTTATTTGGTGATTTTTTGGGAAGGTGTGGTTTGAATTATTTTGAACTTGGGTAAGATGGAACTGTGTATTGAGGGATCTTCTATTTGTGTATGGAGGGAATTAAGTTGTAAGATTTTGATGATTGTTGCAAGCAGGAGAAGTTCAGCTGCTGATTTTTTATTTTTATTTTTTTCTCGAGGAGAGATGCTTTATGTGCTGATGATTTCCGTTTAGTGTAAACGAGAATAATCATCCAAATTCAAGTATTAATGGTTTGGAAGTTCATTTAAATATTAGTAGATTTGAACTACGTAAATTTATCGATGTGTTCTTATTGCGAGAAGATAAGAAAGTGAAAGAAGCATAAATTAAAATGAACCAATTGATGAAGAGGAACATGATATATAAAGGCTATGTTTAGAAAATGAAATGAAATCTAATAAATTATAAAATCAACACCAAGTCGTTGGGATAAGGCTGATGATGATGATAAACTTATGGTTGGGATCTTTACCTTCACTATCGTTTGAATGATTAATGTGGATAACATTGGAGAATAAAGGTGATGATAAACCCTTAATGAAGCTTTCTTGCTTTATCTTTGTTTTTCTTCTCGCAAAATTGCATTTGAATGCTTCATCTTTCTGTGAATTCATTCTCAAGGAGATGGTTGAATTAGTCTAGCATGACAGAGTTTAGAAAGAGAACGAATTTCAATGTTTGGGTTTTAGACTTTCATAAAGGAAAGAGAAAACAGTGAAAGAAAGGAGATAATAGATGAGGAACTATAGGAATTGCTTTCAAAATTAAGTTGTGATAAGATAGCCATTTATAGTGCATATTCCTATTTATAGAATAGAGCAGAATGTTTTATTCAAACTAATGTAAATTTTAAAGTTGATAAATCCTTAACAATTCTTATCTTCTAATTAAAAAGAAGATAATCCTAAGAAAAATGACAAGTAATTCGATTTTTATAAGATTATTGAATTACCCAAAATGAATAAAATGCTAGAAATATTATGAAAATGTTAAGGTTAAGCTAAATGTATAATTGATGCATGTCCTTTACTACAACTCCTTTGGAGCTGATAAAACTCTTCTCATGAAAGTTATCCATAATAACTTGCTTGATTAGATGGTGCCTTGGGAATAGGTGGCACTCTATCTGGATTTTGGATCTCTTTCAAATCATTAGCATTTGCATTTTGAAGACTTTAAATGTAGATGACACAAAGTCCTTGAATTTGGATGTCACGACATAATATCAATTTTGTTTTATCAATACCATGGTAGATTATCCCATAGTCATGTAGTGATAATAGTGTCAACAAGTTCTAAATTTATTTTTTTGGTATTTTTATGGAAATTTAGTGCATCAGTGCTTTGATTTAGATGCCCTTTAATGGTGGTGATGTGTGATGTGCCTTTTTATTTAATTTAGGGTTTACTAAATTTTTAATGGGGAGGGGGTTGAGGGAGCGAGTTTCACTTGGGGTGGAGGGGTGAGTTGTGGGATATGTGAATCAATTAAGGTTTAGAGTTTAGATGTATAAGATATTGAATTATTGATGGATCCTTGTCAATGTTTAAAATTGCGTAATCGGGTATTGAGGCATAAGCCTCAAAATAAAAAGATTGCGTAAACATAAAATGATAAATTTTTTATATACTAATGAGTAAAAAATATAAAACATAAAAAGGCACAAGATATGAAGTGAAATCAAAATATCCCAGCCAATCACAACTTTGTCACAGTAATTGCATTTTAGATAGATATATATTTTATCACTTCCTTCTACATCCACATGAGTGTTATGTTTCCATGCTAGTCTTTTCAGCTTTATCCTTACTTCTGACCATCCTTTATGAGAAGAATATATTAGTGCAATATATCAAACCCCTAAGCATAATGTTTCACTTATTCTACATTAAGAAAACTTATTCAAAGCATGCACTCATGAAGAAGCAGACTAACATTAAGAACTATTGTTAAAGATGATGAATACAACAATATGCCGGGCAGCCGGGGGTCCAAAGAGGCGCTGTCCCTTGGAGGAGTTCGACCTGAGCGGTACCGAGCATGTACCGAGCGGTACCAAGAATGTACTGAGCATGTACCTAGTGGTACCAAGCATTGTTGTACCAAGTGTTACCGAGCATGTACCTAGCGATACTGAGCAAACAGACCGATTGTGGAATCTTACTCAACAGAATATGGAGGTCCTTATAGCAAAAACGGACCAATCTTGAATTTCACAATAAGGTGATAGATGGAACCACGAAGAAGAAAAGCTTTCAGTGGTCGGTCGAAGGAGACTCTAGACAAACTCGCGATAGAAGAGAACTCCAAGCAATAGACGAAGAGCAACTCACGGTGGAAGGAAGCCGATGCTGGTCGAATGAAAGGAACTCAGGTAGTGGGAAAATGTCGCTCTAAGAAGAAGGGAGAAGAAACCTAGTTTTGGTTTGGAAATGACCGAAGAAGTACGGGGGTGGGGGGCCGAACCGAATAGATATATATTAGGTTAGGATTTTTTTTAATTTTAAGAGGTGGATGCCTCTAAAACATGAGGCGATGCGAGGCGTACGCCTCAATGCTAGATCTCATTGCGTAGGTTTTGAGGCTTAAAAGTTTAAAATTGCGCTGAGGCGCGCCTCTTATTGCGCAATTTTAAACCATGATCCTTGTTGATAACTTTATTTGATCTTCTTTATTCTCTAATATTTGCCTTTAAATTGTTTGGTCTTTTCTTGAATTCACTTGAAGTGGAGAGAGGAGTCAATTAGAGTTATAGAGATGGAGTTTAAGGTGAGAATGGTGGTAAGGAAATCAATCTTGATGGGAATTTGGTGAGAATGGTGATGAGGAAATCAATCTTGATGGGAATTTGGAGGATTCTCCTTCTTGGGATTTTCAACTTTAGGGTTGCAGAAAGAGGAGAGAAAATAGATAAGGAAACGAAGGAATTGCTTTCAAATTTAATTCATAGTTATTTAAAATGCTACAAATCATATTGATAGAAATATGCTTACTTGGTAATTCAAAATATTTAAAATTTAAACCTAGATAAATCTTAAACAAATCCGATCATTTAAACAAAAGAAAAGATGGCCCTAATTAAAAGAATAATTAAATTGATTGTTTTTCTTGACAATCAAATGCATAAAAAATAAATTAAATGTTAGCAATAATCAAATTCTAGAACAAACCAAATGTTGCCTTGATGCTGTATTGTACTGCATAAGGAATTCAAGATCTTTTGATCAAGTTAGCATTTTATGAATGAAAAGAATTTGATTCTATCTAAATGGTAAAGATTAAAGGATTATAAAAAATTATTCTGTTAAATTATTAAAGAACTTCAATAAAGATATTTCTAAGTAAAGAAAAATGTTGGAGATTATCCATAACGTTATAATTAATCAAGAAAATGAAATTGTAGTCAGCTTTTAAAAAGATGTATAAAATTTGGATAAGATGGGATAACTATTGATTTGAAAAGTTAATGCAAATATTGAACTATATTTTTCCTTACAATATCGAGTGGTATTGCCTTTGGCCTAGATGGTTTGATTAATAATATTTTTCAAAGAAATTTAAACAATTAAGAGGATGACAAATAATTGATAAATAATATTTTAGTATTGATATCTATGAAAAAAATTGGGTGATCAGAGTTATTCTAATCATAGGGGACCTTGAAAAGACATTTAATTTAGCACCAAAAAATTGATTTGATCTTTGTTGAGGAAAATTTTGAATCAAAGCTATGTTCTAAATTTTAAAATATGTATGTTCATAATGAAGAGGACTAAAATATGTGGGTTGACCAATAAATTTGCAATTAGAGTAAGGTTACCTTAAGGATCTTTTTATGTTCAATGCATCCTTAGAATATATATTTTGAATGTGATATTTGGCTTATGCTATTCGTAAATTGCATAGTTTTAAACATTATTTAAAATTGCGCAATATGAGGCTCAGGCTCACCTTGAGGCCCACCTTAGCTCAATTCCAGTAAAAATGCATCGAGGCTTTTGCCTCAAACTTTTTTATGAGGTTTGCGCCTCAATTTTGCTGAGGCCTGCCTTGAGGCGATGTGAGGCTTACACCTCACTCTATTTATATATATTTTTATTTAAACATACCTAAATCCTAAATTAAAGCTCCAAACAAATTACGTTTTAATGCACCGCCAACCTACAACAACTTCCTCTTGACTTCCTTGACCTTCAATCCTCCATTTTCTCCATCTTCATCACCGCCGTAACCGTCGGGGATCACTTGAAGCCTGCATATCACCACCACCTTCTCTAAAATTTTAAAAGTATTAATCTCATTTTTATGTAAATGAAAAATATTTTTGAAAGAGTAAGATGACTGAAATAAATGAAGAAGTAAATTGGGAGCATTGGACCCCCCATAGGATGACACAGGGGAGAGATCAATTTGTTATAATGACGACTCAAATTAAAAACCCCTCGGATGACAATGCAGATGATTTCTATGTTTTTGTCAACTATTTTAGTTTTCTTTAGGAATTAAATGTGGACGAGTAGATAATTGAGAAAGAATGAATTTGAATTTGATATTATATGATACCTTTATGCCATTCATATATTTATTATTACTTTGCTCTTGTAATATTTGGAATTCAATTCTATTTCACACAATTTATCACTTGTCAATTTACGTCTTATGCAATTTTTTATTTCATATATATGTCAATTTGTTACTTCATAATTCAATAGAAAATTAACACATCATCCTTTAATATATTATTTGAGTATTACAATAGCAGCAACAACAACAAGCTTTTGTCCCACTACGTGGGGTCGGTATTTGTGTATTATATAAAAAATTATTTTTAACATTTATTGTGACTTAACGCAATTTTTTTATTTTGAAGCTTATGCCTTGCCTTGCAAATAAAAAATACATCAATACCTAATTGCACAATTTTAAACCTTGGTTTTAATTGATTGATATTGTTTGGCAGTAATAAATAGATCAATAAATAAGAAAATTTTAGAAGATAAAAGACTTCTGATTATTATATCAAGTTTCTATTCATCTTATTATACAACTTTGATCCAGGGAAAAACAATGATGTTTGATTCTCATGATAGAATAAGATAAAGTTATTTTAAGGCGTAATGATTTAACCTATATTGGCTTTGCTATAACAAAATTTAGGGCTTCAATTTGGCGTGCAATTAGTAGAGCTATAAGTTAGTCTTTAAAATGGAGAAGTCTCTTAGTACACAAACGAAATAGAAAGCTAAAGATACATTTTAAAGATGGCAAGTCTAGAAGTTGTTATAAAAGATATACATAAATTGTTCACCAAGTGAAATAGAAAACAAATAAATGGTGAAGAAGGATTCATAAGCAACCTTAAATAGCTTAGATAAGACTATTCATTAGCAAGATGATGATTCACATGTTTCTAAGAAACGGTTTCCTCGCCTGTACTTAGATGGTTAATGTTTCTTTTATCTTAAAGGAAAACAAAATATGTTTTTTCTCTTATTGAACCGTATGATTCACTTAAAGTTTAGCTTTTATTATTCTATGTTCTTACAACTATTCCTAATCTTGTATTTTAGAATGATGAGAAGTTTCGTTGTAGTGAGACTGGGTATCGGTTGCCCTTAAAATGTGTAGAAACTCGAGATGTTTCTACAGAGGAATCCAAAAGTAAGAACCAAAGGAAGCTCCTCTTTCAATCAGGCAACATGGCTGGTTCAGTTATGCGAGAACAACTGGTTGCCTCTGTAAGGAATTTAAAGTTTAGAAAGCTTATGAATGATTCTTCTACATCAGAAAGTGGGAAGCAGAGTTATATTACTTATAGGAGTTGCATACCAGTAGATGGTGAAGAAAATTTGTCTGTTCTTGGTTTTGAGGTATGAATTCTCCGTGTACTTTAAAGTGCAGATTGTTATATTCCTATCTTGATTCAAATTTTGCATGCCTTTAGGTCAGCTAAGTAATCAAGCTGGCTTATACGTAACGATTATGGTTTTTTTTTTTTTTTTTATTAGTCAAGTTTGTTAATGAATGAGTTCCTTTCATCTGGTTCTCTACACTTCATGCATCATCAGTTACTTATATTAGCTAACCAAGAATTAATTATCATATAAATAAAGAAAATTCAACCTGGTGAAAATTACTCATTATTATCTTTTCTCGGTATTAATGTCTTGCTGCAGTAGTTCTATAGTACTATGACTGTTGTGAATCTAAGAATTCGTCTGGTGTAACTAAAGAAATATTATCTCTAATAAAGAGGCCTAGAGTTGAAATCCCTTCAAAAAATGTCTAAACAAGAGACCACAATAATTTGAGCTCATTGGATTCCCTGTAAACTGAACTTGTTTCACAAAAAGTTAAAATTTACTATATTCTTTCATTTGATTGGATGTAACTATGATCAAGATGGATTTTGATCTCCACCAACCTAAAATAAGGGTTTCATTGACAAAATAAGTGAAAATATCGAAATGAAGTCGCAACGAATTCGGCAAATCTTGCCAGGTTTCTGCTAGATCCAGCATGTCTGCGGCGAGGTTTGGTCAGGTTCTGGTGAACCATGGTGAGATCCCGATTGTTCTCTCTGAATAATCTCATAACAAATTATGAATTTTTATTGCTTAATAAAATCTATGGCCTGATTTATTAACTTTGATGTCGTTCTTCCCTTTGCTTTTGTTTTATTCATGTATTATAGTTAAAGTTCGAAGCATCGTATGTTTGTGAATGTTCATTGCCTTGTAGAACTATAGTTTCAGTCTTCAGTTCATAAATTATTGTTGGTAGATTTTGGAAAACTTAGTAAAGAACTTAAGAGTTGAAGACTAGTATAGTTGATAGGATTCAGTCAGCTCGTGCGAGTTTCGGGCAGTCTTCTACAAACTTCGATGGAGCTCGAAAGTTAATAAATTAGTTTAAGTTTAGGACACATTTGGTTGGTTGAGGTTAGATTACATGTTCTAAAAATGATGAAATCTACTACAAACCTTTTTAAATGTTACAAATTTTTTTAAATGAAAGAAACTTCTATAAGGATATCCAACTAGGGGTCAGGATTGACTTGAAAATTTTTTAAATTATTTTAAAATGAGTGCAATACATAAATAATATATATTGTGCCTGTTACAAAGCAAATTCAAAAGATTTGAGATTTAGGCCTAGTTTGGGACGGTTTTCTTTAAGTCAAAGCGATGTTTTAGTATAAAAATTAAAATTTTTGTACTAAAAAGATGTTTTAAGAAGCAGCAAGAAAATAGCCCCAAACAAAGCCTTATTCTAATCAAAAATTTTAATATGAATATTATAACTCTTTTTTTTCTTTATAAACCCCATTTTATACAACAACAATAACAAAACTTTATCCCACTACGAGGGGTCGGCTACATGAATCCTTGTTCTCCATTGTATCTTATTAAGAGTCAAATTCTCATTTAAATATAATAAAAAATATCATTTCTAATATTTGCTAACTAAGTCTTTTAGGTCTACCCCTACCTTTCTTAACTTAGGTCAAGTCTAACACATCTACCCTCCTAACTAGGTCATCATAAGGTTGATGTTTTATATGTCCAAACAAAGGTGACTCTCACTAACTCCACTGGAGCTACTCCAACCTTTTCACGTATATAATCATTTTGCATTCTATGTCTAAAAGTGCAGATACTCATCCACCTAAGCATCCTCATATCTATAACACTTAACTTAATTTCATGCTTCTCTTTTAATGGCCAACATTCTACGTCATAAAATATTTCAAGTCTTACCACTATCTTATAGAATTTTCCCTTAAGTTTGAGGAATACCTATGATGCACAAACACGGACACGTCGACACGGATACGACACGACACGGACACAGGACACGTCAATTATTGAAAATATAGGACACGGACACGGGTTGGACACTGTATTATAATTTTTATATTTTAAAAATAGTGTATAAAATTGAATAAGTATAATTTTAAAAATTATTTAGAATAATAAGTTATTTAACTAGAATTTGTGCTTAAAATAATTAATATTAGGATTTCGAGAGTCGGGCGTAGATGCCATTTATTAGTCATCGAAAGAGAAGTTGACAATGATGTTGAGAGTCGTGCATATTGATGTTATGCAGTAGATATTGGGCGATAATGTTAAGAGGGCGTTTATCGTCAATTTTGTGGGGGCATTGGTCGTCGATGTTGAGAAGGCGTTGGACAAATATTAGATGTCAAGTTGTGGGTGTAAAATCTGTTAGCATCAAGCATCAATGTAAAGACAACGTCAGACGTTGATATGGATATCATTTTGAAATGTTGATGTTGTAACGACGTCAGACGTCGATGTTGAGATGACATTGAGCATTGTTGTGAAATCAAAGTTGTAGCCCACCAAAGAGAAATGAAAATGAGAATATTTAATGAATGGGGTATTAAGTACGGGCGATTGATTTGGTGTTGTGGATAAAATATGTAGGATATGCAAGTCGGACACATGTGTCCAATTTGTATTTAATATTTTTTTGATTGGACACATTTGCAGTGTGTCCGACACGTGTCGGAGGAGTGTCGGACGCGTGTCGTGTCGGACACTACACGCCTCTTTGAGGAGAAGTGTTGGTGCATCATAGAGGAATACTTTTCTATCACACAAATGACCCGATGCATTCCTCCACTTCAACCATCCAATTTGAATTATGCTAATAATATCTCCATCTATTTCATCATCATTTTAAACAATAGCTCCGAGATATCTAAAATGTGTACTCTTATTAGTGATTTGATCGCCCAAAGTCACAATCCCCCACTAGATCCATCAGAAAATTACACTTCATGTATTCGGTTTTAGATATACTCAAACCAAATCTTTAAACTCTTAAGGTTGTCCTCCATAATTCAAGTTTTCCTTCAACTCCATCTTTAGTCTTATTCAGCAAAAAGAATACAATTGGGTACATCCTCTTGCAAATGTCTAGTAAGAACATTCAAGACTAAAACAAAAAAGATATAGGGTTAAAGTTGATCCTTGATGTAATCCAACTAAAATAGGAAAATAGTTGGTCAAACCACCTTGTGCTTGAACACAAGTAACAACCCAGCATCCATATCCTTAATGACTTAGAATATAAAAATTATTAACTCATTTCTTTTTTAGAGCTCTCAAGAGCACTTCTCTTGATATTTTAGCATATTCTTTATGTATATATATTCTTTATACTCTCTATATTATATCATCAAACCTTTCAATAAATGCATAGCTTCCATAGTAGAGATATCGGGCATGAATTCAAATTGATTTTAATAAACATTAATATCACGTTGTAATCTATGCATAGTAACTCTCTCTTATAGTTTTAATGTTATGACATATTAATTTAATTCGTCTATAATTCTCACTCTCTCTTGTGCATCACATTTGTTCTTAAAAATACGAATAAATACACTCCTCCCTAATCATCTGACATTTTTTTTAGTCTTCAAAATAATATTAAAAATTTCCGTAAGTTAAGAAATTCCTCCATCTTCTAAACGTTTCCACACCTCTGTTACAATATCATCAAATCCAGCAGCTTTTTCACATTTCATTTTTCTTCAAAGTCTTTCTAACTTCAATTTTATATTAACACATTGATATTAATCCTATTTAATATAACTTTTTTCTTCAATGAAATTGATAGCATATTCTAAAACATCTTTTCTGCAAGCAACCGAACGAGTCCATAAAAATTTCTTTTTTGGATTTGTCATTGATAATCTTTTTTTAATTGAATTTGCAATTAATCCAATTTTCTATTCTGACCTCACCTGTAATTTTTTTTTTGTTTTGCCAGCTCATCATGGTTTGTCTTTTACTTATAAGTGGCCCAGTTGTTTACTTGAGGCAAAAGCGTCCAGTCCTGATGCCTGGTGCTGGAGCCACGAGAATTCCAACAAACTCTCCCAGATTTTAAAGCTCAAATTTGAAGTGTGTTCTGCTGTCTTGATGGGGGCGAATTATTATGTCCGATTAACAGACATACGGACATCCAATTCATATGTGCCACGTTACGTAAATACACTGGGACCCGGTATATTTTGGTGATGTGGCGCATCTGGATTGGTGTCCGGACGAATCCGGACACCGGACGGAATAATTTGACCTGGCTGGGGGTACTTATTCACTATAATGTAATTTTCTTTTCCTTTTTCCTTATTTCAAGCTATTTGTGGATTAGTAAAAAGTGCCTATTTTTCTTATTAGAAATGTTCATAGCCTTTAATCTGCTTATCTGGGTGGAATTAATCCAAAATTGGATCCGATTAAACGTCTAATTTGGCCAATTTATTCAATTATCCAACCTTAATAACAGTTGTTACAAGCGTAGAAGCTCTAGAAATTTGTTCCAGCATCAACGACATGCTACGGTAGCTCTCTAAATAAAGCTTCATTTGGAACAATTTTCTTTCTATTTTTTAAAATAATTTTTCAGTACTAAAAATTTAATTTTTATACTAAAAATTTACTTTAAAAAATATTAAAAAAATTGTCCCAAACAAAATTTAAGTTAGAGTCCATGTTAGTATGTTACACATACTATAGAACTTGTATTCCTATGTATCTCATTTGGATAAACCTAATCCTAGTCAGAATTTTGTAGTAAAGATAATATTTTAATTTCAATAAAAATAATTACCATACAATCTAAATTTTAGAAGAAAAAAAATTCAAATAATATTTGTGCTTACCATTGTTTACAATGCATGCTAAGACTATCTAATGCATAACATATTCAGCATATCTAAATTATGAACAATTCCAAAAACACCTGATTAAAGTAGCTAAATCCCGTAATTAAGAAATATTAAAACTCTTAGTCACTTGAGCACAACATTCTGTAACATAGAATCATCACATTAATGTGAATTTACCATAGTTGCATGAAAAAAATAAAGCTTTTCTAAGTTGCAAAATCAGATTCTGATCATCATTTGGATAAATAAAAGGAATTAAAGAGAACTTGCGAAGAAGAAAATAATCCAGATTATAGATTTCAGCTATCTGGCATTCCGAAGCGTCAGTGAAAACTAAATTATGTTGTGGTGAAAGCCTCAAACAATCCGCTCCAGCTCTCTTGCATAGCTTAATGTCTGGTTGATCAGTTGCAAAGAAGGTATCTCCTTGCACGGTTGCGACTCTTTAGCTTTCTGAAAGAACACAAAGCCATTCTTGATTTCCCATTCGGGATGATCCTAAAAGAAGAAAAAAGGATTATATTTCATCAACTATATAAAATGGAGGCATAAAAATGCATGGAACTTGAATGACTACAGGTGATAAAGGAAATCTTCTGCGACTGATTTCCTTCTTTTCCAAATTTTAAATGCAAACTCTTTTTTTTTTTTTTTTTGCAGATGATGAACTATATTCAGTTTGTCAATTGATCTTTTTATTAGGATAAATGAGCAAATACATCACAAACGACTCGACAGCGCATGGCATCATTAGTTGGCACAGAACCCAAAGCTTTGCATTGGGTACCCATACCAACACACCCATGCACCCACCCATATACGCCTATGACCTTGTAGATGGGTATAGGTGGATACTCAACATCAGGGGATAAATCGATTTACATTGCTAATCACCGTATATCTTATATTAATGCAATCCTCACTATATAATGTGAGGCACTTAAACTGTGCTGCAACTATAATAAATTCTAATATGCGGCTTGAAAATTTGCAATCAGAGCAAAAGGCAACAAGCCTGAATGCCATCAGTCCGTGGCAGACTGCATTCAAAAAATATGAAAAGTGGGTGGGTATAGGTGGGTATGTCATCCCGATAGTCACCATGGATGGGAAAAGCCTGTTCGAGTAAAGCACGGCTACCCAATGGGTACCCAACCAGGACCCCATGTAGGGCTTTGTTGTGAACTAAGACGAGCTAGCCAAAGAAGCCACTATATGCGCTAATAAGATCTAGCCATGCCTGTGTGATCAGCCAAGCATGCCAAAGAGTCATACATGTATACTATCCATATACGATTGCTAGTCTGGAACAAGATAGTTTTATACTGGCAGATCGCTAAGAGGGCTTCGCCTGTGCAATTAGGAAAAAATATAAACGACAGCAAACGAAATCCAACCTCTTCGATATAAGTAGAAAGCTCCTGATCAGAAGAAAACATCAGAATTTTCTTCGCATCAGCAACTGATAGGGAGTCATAAGCTTTCTCACTGCAACCAGCAATCTCGTCTCTGTAAAATCACGTAAATTTTTGTCAAGAAATAGATTAAAAGGCGAGGTTTACATAAATATCACATAATTCTTATGTATTTATATGTTTAACATCTAAATCATATATATTTATTCATATCACACTCAAATTTTTAAATTTCATAAAAAAAATAACTTAATTTTCACTTCTGCATCTTTTCATTCATATACTTTTAATATGATTGAAACACTAAAGTATCATATAAATAAATGAGGTAATGATCAAAATGATCATTTAACTCTTTACAAAAAACAAAAAAGATACCCGACTATTTAAAAGTCTTATTTTAGTTCATTAACTTTTTGAATAGAGACCAAAATGATCCCACCAAAGGGGACTAATTCAATCCTTATTTAAAGAGTTAAGAGACCTTATATAGTCGGGTACTATTTTGTACATTTAAAAGAAGTTAGGGGATCAATTTGATCATTTTCTTATAAATAAATATAAAATCTAGATATAAGATATATATACATAAAAATCATGTGGCATCTTTGTAAATCCTCCAAAAAAAAGTTCTACATGGCAAGTAAATACACCCTTTCTTACCTGACAGTTTTTGCAAGAAGGTCCATGAAATGAACGTAAGTTTCATGAGGAACAGTTTTCCTGGCGCTTAACACACGATTGTAAGCACCTTCCATGAAAGACTGTTCTAGCTCAACAGCATGCTTGATGCAAGGATTCTCCAGGGCATTTGGTGGCAGAAGTTCCAACTCTGTGTGGAATTCAGCTATTCTATTCTGGACGAGGAGCCTCAGAAGATTAAGACCCAAGATAGGGCATTCCTGGGGTGATGGTGGAATGAGACCACTATGCCAACATAAGAAGATTGTAAGAGCATTTTATTTTTATAAAGAAAACACTAAATCATTCATCTAAAGCAAATCTCATATTTTTACAAGAAGATAACATCTAACTAAAATCTTCAAGCTCTCACATGAGCCCAAAGGATTGAATCTCAGAAGTCGAACGAATAGCAAATCCAATTATAATTTTTATTGAAGAAAGGATTGCATAGTTTTTGCCCTAATTATAATCACATTCTCTTGGAATTCCTTATGCACTGATCCCAAAAGGGCCAAAAAATCATTGGAATTCAATAACAAAACGGCAATAAAGAAAGATTGCCACAACTAAGCCACAAATAACACAAAAAAACTTACTAGAGGCGATAAAGTGTGGTCATTGTACCTGCAGAAGAAGAATATCCTAAAAGAGATGCGGGAATGCCAACTAGAACACCCACAAAAAGTTGCAACGAACGAACAAATCATAGAAAAGAGAGAGTAGCAGAAACCATACAAATACAGAGAATTTAAAAAGCCTCATGGAATAAGTACATTAATATAAATCAAACTTTCAAGTTAGGAGAACATCCCACGCATGTACAAACCAAACCTTGTGAAATCATAACTCCTAATGAGAGTTCAATGCCGAAATTGTTGTCCAACGAACACCTTTCACTTTTTTTAACTGTTGCAGACTTGAAGATTTGCATTAATTATGCTCAACTTAGAAAAAAAATGCACAAACTAAATGCTCAGTTGATATTCATCAAGCAGATATGGGCATGACATAAATATACAGAAATCACAAATCATCAAATGCAAGCGTACCCTGCCAATAGTACAAGAGATCCTTAATATCCACAATCAGCAGTAGACACAATTTCATCACCTATTATAGCTTATGGCATAATATGAACATTATTGTATAGATAATTTGATGATTCAGAGACTTGTTACTTAGTTTTCCTTAAACAATTTGAACTATAGGTAACTAAATAAGTTAAACCGACGGGATTTAGATGGATTAAGCTTATGCCACAGATTCAAAGAAAATCAAAATCATTTGAGTGATCTTTGTGTAGACTGAGTGGATTTAGAAAAGCTAAAATAGATTTGAGGAAGGTTGAGTCGACTCAAGGCGGATAAAATGAAAGTCAACATTTCTTGTTCTACATTCAGGCCAATAGAATTGTAGATGTGAGAATATATGAGCGAAAAGGAGCCTTATGTGCTTTCGATGGGGCTCAATGTATTTAATGGATCCCTACAGAGAAACAAACTTAGCTTACAAACTAAACAACTATTGTCACTAATGAGACAGCAAATTCTAATGTTACACTAAGTAGTGGAACAATGTCTCACATGTATGAGCTGTTGGAATGTTGATAATGAGTACAAGATGCCTAGTTGAACGCCACATACCAATATTATAATTGTTGAATGACCATCACCAACTCTAAATAAGAAATAAGGATTTATGGTAGAGGAGGTTACTATTCCACTTGACCTTTAGCAAGGAATGTATTTAACTACCTAGTAGCCATAGCAAGACTGCAAAGGAGGATGACTTGAGATGAAGTGAAATAAAGCCATATTCCAGAAGTTTTTATCTTGACTACTAAGGAGGAAACTTAGCCACTTACTGTAGAGTTGTTCCTCTAATATGATGGTTGCTAGATCTTAGCCTTTTCTCCTGGAATGAAATGACATTTGCATGCTCATGTGATGGATATTCATGTTTTTTCTACTATGTCGTGATGCATATCGCCTTGACATATATTGAAATACTATATGTACAGATAAGAATAAGAAAAATAGCTAATAGAACACTTGTAGCATGCATTTAAGAATGAATGATATGAGGTGGATAGCCCAGAGAAATATCATTTTCCTTAAAATGCTATCCTTCGCTTAAAAAGGAGCTGCAATTATGTTTGCGCTTTTCTCTCTTGACCTGTGCTTCCACTTTCTCTTCTTTTTTTTCCAATGATTCACTAATTTTCACCTTGTGATTAAGGGGCGGCCAGGCTCTCATGCTAGTGGCATTAGGTAACTATAAATGATGCAAAATCATTAATATTCAAGTTTCATTGCCCAAAGGCCCCAAACACAAAAAAATCACATAAATTATAACTGTCAAAACTCAATTTGAAAAAAATATCTAAATTCATAACAAACAGCAAGAAGATTTTAAGGAACTTAAGAAGCACTAATAACATAATCTATATCCAATTCCAGTACACCTAACAACGGGAGTACCCTCAAAATTGAAATTGGCAAGCCTCAAGCAAACAATTCACAAAACTGTTTATAAAGGTCAAATAAAACGCAGGAAACCTCACCATGTGTCAGTATAAAAAGGTTTTAATTGAAAGAAATCCCTCTCAAAGGCATCCTGGTCTTCAGTCTTGACACTCAAAAGAACAGCATGTTCATATATATCCCCTGGAAAATTTTCCGCACAAAACAAACACAAGTTATGGACATTAAGGACAGGTAAATCAACAAATGCTGAAACTGAACAGAATGCACAAAATGCTACCAAACATTTACTTTGCTATAACTAGATTTTTATGAACTCATAATAAACATTCTAGAATTGTTACCATCATATGAACCAACATGAGCGCTTCTAGTCACTAAACAATGCAGGGAAATAGCTCTTTAACAGTGGGGAAATAGCTCTTTAAGAGAAATAACAAACTTATATGAGGGATCAATGGGAGAATAGCTTCCTTAATGGTTGACAAGCCCTGCGAAGAAGGGTTGCTCAATCGACAATACTTTGTTTAGAACCTTGAAGTTGTTATTTACTTGTAAGTTAAGCTCTTGAGTATTGATAGCTTCTGATGTAAAAATTAGTCCACAAAAAACCAAAATTGTTTCAGGATTCACAGTTATGATATGGGCATTGTTTAAATTCTTTAAAAAGTAAAAAATTTCGGACTTGCCCCCAGAGCAATTCCGGTTGGTTTAAATGAGGCTTTGCCATGTAGATTGATCAAGACTAAATACCACAACTATCATCGAGTAAAACACCCCTCCACAAGACATGTCCAACCAAAGGTAGTCTAAACAGCACACCTCTCAACTGAATATTCACCAACTGGGAAGCAGCAATTCCACAAAACTGTAAAACAACAAGTCTTTATCCCACTACTTGGGGTCAGATACATGAATCATTTTCTCCATTGTGTCCTATTAAGAGTCAAATTATCATTTAAATCTAATAAAAAATATTATTTTTAATACCAAGTCTTTTTAGGTCTAACTCTACATTTCTTAAAATGAGATGGATTTAATGCATCTAGTCTCCTAACAAGGTCATGAAAATTCCACAAAACTATCATGAGCTAAAATTTACTATCATGCATTTGCCAAAGCTGAATATCCCTTGAGAAAAAAATTCCAAATAAAAAAACAGAAAACAAGCGATGTTTTATTGTGGCATGTCAACTAAGCAGTATCAACTTGGATTCAGTGACTTCACATCATGAAATGCAATCTATTTTGACTGTTATTCAATTCTTCAGAAAGACCAAGAAATCCATGCCAAAAAGCACCTTATAACAAAAAAATTACCTGTTCACTAACATGCAAGCAAACAAAAAAAGGCCCTAAGCCTCCATCATACTTGATAGGAAATGACATGCAATATGAAAGGAAACTGTATAATATATGAATGTGATTTTAAAAGAAAATTGTGCAATGCAACGAAACTGGATTATCTATGTATGTGAGTTAAAAGAAAATTATGCAAGCAACAGCTACCAGGGTCATACTAAGAAAATGAATCCAAGTTTACTAAAGAGTAGTGTTTTTAATGATCATCTTTAACATGCAAAGGAAATATCCATTGGCTAATAAAATACAAGTCTTAAACAGGCAAAAGCCCATAATTAACTTGAAGTTACACATCCCAAAAAATAAAAAATCGCAGCACCAAACAGTTGGAATTTAAAGCCCTTCATCTATCATTTCAACACAATATTTAAAAAAAAGATTACACTATTCCACTTATGAGAATAATTTGTTCCGCAAAATATTCTTTATGAAATCAAGTTTCTAAAAAAAAAATTCTGCAAGTTCAATAGAAGACTAATTTATTTATTTGTTTATTTATATCCACAATCATGCAGGATTAAGGCCAATTTCATCACCATAGGTGATGAAATTTGCATTTTTGAGCAAAACAAGGTTCCTAATCCCCAAAAGTAACATATGAAAAACTTTCATTGGTTTCAAACTTTGGCTGGAACGGAATCAGGTAGGGATCGCACTTCTTGACTAGTAAACTAAAAATATACAGGTTGAAAGAGTTTCATTCCCGACTAACTAATGGGAAATGCAGGAAAGTAGGTCTCTATCTTGAGAAGAAATTCAATGTTCTAACTTGAAAAATCAGTTGAGGCCACTTGAGCTATTGCTTTCTGAGCACGCAGGTCTAAATGTCTCCAATAACCTACAGCGAAATTTTCTTTTAAATGTTCATTTTTTGTGTTTGAGATCATATTGTGAATTAGCACGGTTCTCTCCAATCAAGTTTGGAAACAATATTAAGTAGACATCATTACCCAGCACATAATCCACAATCTACAGAGAAACAAGCATAAGGCCCATGCTGATTTTCCATCACTCGTATATATACAATATAGCAAGCTTAATTATAGTTTAATAAAAGTTGCCTCCTAGTCTCTATGATATTTTCTTATCATATCTAATATTCACTAGATTATTTATTTTAAACACCTAGCCTTAAGTTTAGACTTTAGAGGTTATATCCTCATCGATATTCCCAATCCCATTATATTAAATTCAAGAAATAGAAACCTATCACATCTAGCTGCCACTTTATCATCTAACAAGATTGATTAATAATTAATTATACAACCAAACAAAATTTACACATTAAAAACTCAAATTTATTCTACTAATCATAGACCGTTTATCTTCTAAACATTTTATTATACAATCAAACAAAATGGATATCTCACCAATTTGAACTATATTATCAACAAAAATCACACGCCAATCTATTTTACTCTGAATATCCTTTGTAAGCATCCCATAACCAATTAAAAAGCATATAGACTTAATCTTCATTATTTAAGTAAAACTACTGTAATTATGAAATCCCTTTGTCACTTCACAACTAGTACTAATACTTGTCAATACTCCATCATACATAGCTTTAATAATTTGAACAAATTTTTAGCTCGTCATTTTTTTTTTACTGCATACTAAATCAATGCTTATGATACTCATAATATAGATTTTTTAAATCATTAAAAATTAGTATAATGTCTTTTCTTTGTTCTCTATGTTCTTTCATTAATTTCCATGATGAATTTTGTCCACAAAACAATTTTAATTCTGTGATATCTAAATAAATTTTCTAAGTCCATGTTTCATCACTTCACCCACAACTCCAACGTATAACACACGAGTTTGATTACCTTATAATTATAATAATCCTGATCATCTCATTTGTCTCAAATAATTATATCAAAATGTTACTTCTCCAATCAACAGGCATTGTTTAGCCATCAAAAGATTTGTAAACCAAACTACCCAAATATCACCTATAAATCTCCAAATCTTATTTAGGCCACAGCCATTACCTTTATCTTTAGACATATTAAAAATATCCAACTTCATTGCAATTTTTTGAATCAATCTATAATTCATCAATTTATTCTGTTCATTATGCCCTTCTAAAAAAAAATTTTACTACTCCCATTTAACAATTTTTCAGATCAGCATTGTCATATTTATTTGATATCTTAATTTTTTAAACTATGATCATGCCATATCCTTTTTAATATATCAAGATTTATCAAAGTCTCCAAATCTCATTATCTCTTACAGTCTTACCTCAACTATTTTATCACTTTTTCATTAACTTGGTACTTAGCCTTTTATACAAATAAAAAAAAACTATAACTTTTGCCTAGCTCTACCCTCTTTACAAGACTAGTTCCTAAAAATCATTACAAATATTAATAATGTTTCATTCTTTTAACACTCCTTAAATACACATTTCTTTCTTTATAACTTCTTGTGCCTTTTCACTCAATAATCAAATCTCCTTATGTGTGATCTATTAATGCATGCTCCTAAAACTTACACAACAATCATTTTAATGAAACTATCAATCTTCACATCAAGTTAGGCTAAACTACAAAATTTCAGTTTGCCTATTTTAAAATGACTTGAAAGTCAATTTTCAAGTTCTTTCATGATATATGAGGGTAATTATTTATTTTGATAACCATATCTATAGTGCCAAGAGACACATACATAGCTAATATATATATATATATATATATATATATATATATATGTTGTGCATCAAACTTCCTCCATGAATAATCTAATAATCTTTGCAGAAGATTTTGTATTTCCTGCTAAATAAAAAATTTGATTTGATTTGGTTGCTCCACTTTTTTAAAAACCTAAGGGGTTGTTTGGTTAGATGTAATAAAAATAAAAATATTATAAGAGGCAATGTAAAGTAAATGTAGTGTGCTTTAATTTTAAGGAATTATTTTTTAGATGCGAACCAAATACAAAGAAACTTTTTTTAGTTTGTTAGGATGCAAAGCATTTAAAACAATTATTTATTCATATTCTTCCTTGATCTCTTCACCAAACACCGCAACAAATAACATGTCTTCATCTCCAAATGAGCAGAAACTCTTCCATATCACATCTCTATAATTCTCTTTCAGACTCTTTGTATCTTATATGTAACAAAGATCGAAAAGACTCATACAAACATGGGGTAACCACAGGGAGAAGCAAGAGAAAAAGTCTAGTTACAGCAGCCAGAAGAAACGACAAATGAACTGCTAGATCAATTTTCCAAAAACTTTCCTACTTTCATTTAGATGTCAACAACTCCAATTTTGTGATCTTATCAATCCTCATTTCAATGCCCATGATCTTCAATATCTTTGGATTCCAATATTATTTCAATCATTGGCCTCGATGGCAAAATATGGAGACGGTGAAAGATGGGAAAATTTTTCAAAGCTAACATCATCATAGGACAAGCAAACTCTTCATTTCTCTGTTACTCTGTTGTTGAAAGAAGACTCACCGATGAGAAACTAGCTACATTTATGAGGCACATAACAATGATTATTTTAATATAAAACATCATATCAATAAACCTTTTTTACTGTATCAATAACCCTATATTTACTACTACCATCAACCCATTCCCCTAAAAAACCCTCCCAACATATAATAACTTATAAACCTTTTTAAAGTTTAGAGATTTATCCCCTTGACATCTAGCTTCTTGCAACAAAAATATTGATTATAATTCAAATCATTGTGAACATTAATGCTATTGTATCCTCATTAAAAACAAAAATAGCTAAAACATCCAACATAATATTTTCCATGGCTTAGAACATAGATAAATTCATGACATATATTTCATGAAAGGTAGCGTTAAATCACTACAACTCATAAGTGAGCTTCAATACTTCACTGAGTTAAATACATTACTTGCTATCTGGAGTTCTTCAACAGCAGTAGGTGTCTGCTGAAATGTTGGCGGTAGGCTCGGATATTTTGTCAAGAGAACCTGCAAAAAAGTACAATTACCCTATCACTGCTTTAATATATTTGAATAGAACCAATAAAAAGGTAAAAACATCAGCAGCTTTCTAAAGCAGCAATTGACTAGATGGATGTCTTTGATCAGGTGGCAGGATAAAACATAAATAGTCAGTCTATATATGAGGTAAACAAGGATAAGGGCTTTTATCCCTTTTCAAACAATGCTGCAAAATGATACTAATGCGGACATTCGACGGTGGACGTTAATAAAAAAAAGAGACGAAAATCGAAGGCCGATATCACTCTGTTTTATCTTAGTTTATTAATTGTATTTTTTCTTTTAATTATGCATTTTCCGTTTTTACCCTTATTTAAGAGTCTTATCTTATGTAAGCCCACGGGGCAAAATTGTCATTTTAGTTTCTTTTAGTTTAAGGCCTATATATAGAGGCCCTTGCTCTTGTATTAGAATGATGGATTATTAAGAAAAGAAATTTGTTTTGCATGTTTGTTCTTTGGAGGGATGTTAATGGAAATCCCTATAAAGGGAATTGTGGTTTCCACCAACCGTAGGATGGGTCCGAGCTCGTGGCTTGAAGCCCCTTGGTGAAAGGCATCATATCACCCATCAATCTTCGGAAGAGTCCAAGGCTCGCAGTTCTATCACTTTTTCTTTGTTTTGTTTTTTCCTTATTTCCCTAAACCACCACCTCAAGCCCTGCACCAAGGCGCCGATCCTCTCACCACCATCACATTCACACCATCGGCCTACAACAACCCCTCCCTTCCACCTCCCTCCCCTTGGCCGAAATCCACCATGGCTCCACCCACCCGCCGGCCACCTCCTTCCCTAGCCCCACTTTCCAAAAAAAAAATCTCTTTCCTTATTTAAGTTGTCATTAATTTCGAAAGAATTTAAATTCAAATTAATCTAATTAGAATTTCAAATCCATCCTCATTGATTGCCTTATTTTTGGAAACCTCTTTCATTCAATTAATTAATCAATTCTGAAATTGATTGATTAATTAATCCCTAGTCTAAACACATTGAACCTAGACACCCCTAGTCCCCCCCTCTCTCTTGGCTAGCCCCATACCTATGCCCTCTTTAAATTTCTTCCCAAAACTAGATTAATGATTATCTTGGAAAGGTTTTGAATTCAAATCCAACACAATTTGAAATTCAAATAATTTTCATAATTAATTCATTTATTTTAGGAAAGTCTTTAAATCAAATTCCAATTCAATTCCAAGTTGGATTTGAATAAAATTCTCTACCTCAATTTAAGACTATTGAATAGGCAAGCTTTAATTCCACCACTCCCACTCTTCTATTTTAATTAATGCTTCTCCATTAAGGCCTCCAATCCCTCTCCATTTAAGGGATTAATTAAGTACCCATTCCCTCCTTTTTCCATTTAATTTGAAATTCAAATTTCAAATTACCCCCCCCCCCTTCGTTCTACATCAGATACGAACATAGATATTTGAATTATTTTACTTCTTTCAAAATATATTGTTTTGTTAGATAATTTTAATTTATATGGTTAAGTTTGATAGCACTTTGCTAGCAATTTCTAAGCAACTTGTAAGCAATTTGATGGTAGTTTGCTGTTTTAGCTTATTACTTCTTCCTTCTTCCATTTATAAGTATTAAAATCACAAGTCATGAATGATAATTTGACATCAATAAAATTCTCATTGTGGATGTGTATATTCGGGATTCTTCTCATCCATTCCATTATTCTGATTAAGGATTAGACATGAGACTTGAAGCCCTTCAGGGGGAGATAATCTCATCCTGCAAACATGAAGTTTGCTTATCTTATTACTTGTCTAACTCTTTCCATCTTTTCCTTCTTTATTATCCTTTCTAGTTGTTTCATAGTTGCCATGCATCATACATCAGACTTCGTAGACAAAAATGAATGAACAGTTTACAAGATAGTTGATGAAAGAAAGGATATTTGGTGCCTCAACACAATTGATTTCAAACCTTTGTTTCTTAAGAGGAAATGAGTCGGTTTAATAGCATCATCGTTATCATCATAATTAGTTTCCTTCTCCAAATCTGTTGCACTTTTTAAGCGTTTCATGATATTATAATTATATTTTCACAAGCCTTTTGCACAGCTTCTATCCATGTTCTCCTTAATTTGTTCATTTCTAGCTTTTAACATTAATTTTCTATGATTATTTATTGATGCATCTGCAATCTTCCCGCTTTCCTTTTAACAAGACAAAAATTATATGAGGAGCTCCTAACCTACTTTTGGGTCATCAGCACAGAACAAGCGAGAAAAATTTACATTAATTTTATTTAAAATAAAAGAGAACTGCATAATATTGCAAACCAACCATCTTGTATCGCAAAATGATAATAAAATTCATTATTTGACGCATAACAACATCTTATTTATATGAAAAGTTGAAAACTGGAAGACAACTATCTTATACCACAAAATGACACTGATTGCAAGAAAAATAATGTTGTCTTCCATTTTGGAAATAACCTTCAATTTTGCTTATTTTTCTGCACTCCTAACAAATAGAATCAGGAGCATCTAATGCAATTTTCTTGCCCTTAACATAGTGATATATGGCTGAACGGCTTTAATAGTATTAACTTATTTTTTAAGGAAATACTACTCACACTGAGTATACAATATAAATATTACCAGCACTATCACAACTAATTCTATCACAATTTCACCATAAAATTCTCATTTGTATCCCAAGCAACATCGCGATATTGACTTTTTGTTGCTCAAAATCATATGATGCAATCAATCAAGCTAAATGTAGAGTATTACAAATCTACATTTAAGTTTTCATAATATTCTATTAGCATATATACAATTTGTAAGACATTTCTCCATTTAATCAATTAGATTGAATTTTAAAAGTTACGCCGCTGTTTGCATTCCATTCTTTTGACAATATATCCAAAAACTTGACCATATCACATTAAAATGCCACTTGGCCATCCAATAATATTGATTAATTAGTATCATTTTTAGTTCATTAGAATTGCATATCATGTAATCATTATTTGTCCAACTAATATTAAGCCACTTGTTTTCTTCAAACTTCTACGATTGTTTCAAATTTTCACTTACTTCAAAAGATGTCTCAATTATCAAAGCTGACTTAGATAAAAATACATATCTCAAGGTATCCGAATTTGAATGTATCTTATAAAATCAGCATAATACATATAAAAGAAAAGAACTTAGGCAAATCCTTCATGTAATCCTACTTTATTGGAAACTGTACTCCCTAGTTACTAACACTAGCAACCACCAACCATTTGTTGAGGGTTATTGCCTTTGATCTCTCAATTGGAGATCTAAAGTTCAATTACTTGCCAAAAAAATAGAAACTACTACAACATTCATAAACATTAACACACATTTCTCCTTCCAGCCCACCAAATAAATTTTCTTCATATTCAATAATGTGGACTTTTAAGAAGGATATTTCGTTGTTCTTTATGCTTTCCATCTATTGACATAGTAAAATGTTCACCATAAAGTACATCTTCCAACATAAAACCCTTCTCCAATACCAATGCAATCTTACTAAGCCAATTTTCCATGTCTCTCTCCCATAATTGCATTAATATGGCTGATAAATGTGATTCCTTAATAGTTACACAGTCCAAAGCATATCATTTGATAGTAAATATTGATACAAAAATAATTCACCTCCTATTGTTCGGCATCCTCTTAGGGGTTGTGTAGTTTTGCAAGATGTTGTCAAAATTGAACATGAACTTAAGCTAAATACGACCAGTAGAATAGCTAAAGCTAATATTTGACTGAAGTTTTAGTCTTTAAATCTGGATTTAGAAACGCCAATTAAATATATGATTTAATGGATTTCAGGGCAAGGATTGAAATATTTATCTTCTGTTTCAGTCAACATTTATAAATTTTACATCCCAATTATAATTAGACTAAAAAATGAATAAATATAAAAAACATTATTATACCCTAACTAGCATCTTAATTATTATGTAGATGTTCATTAGTTAATTTAATTAATTTGTTAACTAATTAATCTAGTTTTAACTGCCGAAATGAAGACTATTTAATCAAAAGTTAGACCATTATAAGCATTAACAAGACAAATTCTTTATAATAAATCTAGTATGTATCACTTAACACAATATTACCCTAGGAAATGTTCTAGGTATTAATTACTTATGTCAATAAATATAATTCAATTATGAATTATATTCTTAACTATCCTAATTAAAGCTAAAGTAATCCTTGGCTAATTAAGTAAACAGTTACTAATTGATAATTACTCCATCTAATTAAACAATATAACAATTGGTCTAAACAATATAATTAAAAATAAATAAACCTTAATTCCAAATTGAACTTTGGTTAACCCTAATTAATGTAGCTACATAATGAACTATTATTATGAATAACTTATCATTAAATAATATTGCTATATTGATTAACACAATTAAAAACAAATTAAATCCTTGTCATCTCAATCAATATCCAAATTAATCAATCATTCTCCAATGTTAATACATAAATAGTTAATCAATTACTCAAATAACCCAAGATTAATTACCAAAATTAAACACTAATGGTATCTTAATGATTAAATTCAAAATCAATTTAATCACTAGTTAGCCAACGTGATAAATTTATTACCTTAAACCGCTAAGTATCAATTATTTTGCAAGGGTCATACCTAATCACTATAATTAAATTATTTAATCTTACTTATTTAAATGAAACATAAATAAATTCCTAATCAACTCAAGTAAATAATATATTACCGATTACTCTAGTGAATGTAGCAGTCAATTAATTACCACAGCTCATTACTATAATTGTATCCTAATAAACCTCAATACATCTAATAAAACCCTAATTAACCTGATTTATTTACTAATAAGGCACGCCAAAATTTTAATCAAAACCCTTTGACCCACTAAATCTCTTACTTGCATCCAATCAATTTTATAAGAATAACTCAAACAAAAGATACTAACAAAAAACTTTCGAACACCATCAGGATTTAAGCTTGTTGCCAATTTTAGTAAATCCTTAGTCTCCCCATATCATTAGTATTTATTAAAAAGTTGTTAGCAAAATTACTCTAATATTGCTCATAATCCTCTCAATCTCATTTAAGTTTTTTGGATCAATCTTACTATGCTTCATAATTATGTTCATTTTGCAATTCTGAATATTTCTTTCTTAAAAGTTCTAATTTAATACTTTCAAAATAATAGTAATTAACATCTTTAACCTGTTATATATCTTACTTACATCCAATCAATTTTAAAAGAATAACTCAAACAAAAGATTTTTACACTAGGGGTGCAACCGAGTCAGCCGGCTCGGGCTCTACTCGTTAACGGGCTTTACAAGTCGAGCTTATCAAGCTCGCGAGTAGAGCTCGAACGCAATTTCGAGATTGACGGCTTAACGAGCCCGAGTTCAAACACCCCGCTGCTCGACTCGCGAGCTTGTCGAGTAGCTCGTGTAACAGCGGTGGGAAAATGAAAACAACGGGCGGGATTGTGGGAAGATGAAAACGAAGCAGGCGGGATTCGGGAGAACGCGGACACAGGGAAAATGACGCGGATGCAGGCGGGATCCGGAAAGATGAAAACGACGCAAGCTTGTTCGGACTTATGCGGGGCTTTTGCCAGCGAGAAGATGCGGACGCGGGGCTGATGCAGCGGCGGGAAGACGCGGATGACGCAGGCACTAACACAGTGGCGAGAAGACGCGAAGGCGTTCACGGCTCTTTCGGACTTCTGACACAAGGCTTTTGCTGGGGGGAAGACGCTGACGCGGGGCTAACACAGCGACGGGAAGGCACAGACGGCGCACGCGGTGACGCAACAGTGGGAAGATGCAAACAATGTTGCGGCTCGTTAAGAGGCTCGAACTATGGCTTGACGAGCTCATTTTCCCTTACCGAGTTGAGCTCGAGGTCGGTTTTGAACTCGACTCGAGTTTGAGCTCGATATTTGACAGTCGAGCTCGGCTCAAACACACCCTAACTCGAGCTCAACTCAACTCATTTACACTCCTAGATTACACAAAAGCTTTCAAATTTTAATACCATCAGGATTTAAGCTTGTTGGATTCATATGATTTGGAAAAGCCAATTTTACTAAATCCTTACTCTCACCGTATCATTAGGATTTTATTAAAATATTGGCTTGCAAAAGTAACACTGTCATTGTCAGGTCCCAAGTCCCGGATGAGAAAAGTGGAGGGTTGTGTTAGGTAATCGATAGTGGTTAGACCAAGATGAATTATAGAGGATTAAGTTAATGTGTTATACTTTAAAATTATGGGAGCGAGTTATGGAGCATAAGTTGCAGCGTGACACTAATGTTTCTCAAAATCAATTTCGATTCATGCCAAGTAGGTCTACTATGGAAGACATACATTTATTGAGAGGTTTGATGGAGAAGTATATAGAGAATTAGGAGGATCTATATATGATTTTTATTGATTTAGAGAAAGCATATGATAAAGTTCCAAGAGAAGTGCTATGAAGACTTCTACATAAAGGGGTTAATAATGCGTATATTAAAGTCATTAAGAATATATATGCAGGAGCTATTACTTGTGTTCAAAGAAAAGTTGGTTAGACCAAGTATTTGCCAATTGGATTACATCAAGGATTATCCTTAAGCCCATACTTTTTTGCATTAGTCATGGATGTTCTAACCAAACATTTGCAAGAGGTTGGACACTGGTGTATGTTTTTTGTTGATGATATTCTTCATGTTGATAAGACTAGAAAGGGAGTTGAAGGTAAACTTGAGTTATGGAGGTCAAACTTAGAGTCTAAAGTCTTTCTTTTAAGTTAATTTATATGGAGTGTAATTTTAGAAATAATAGATCTAGTAGGGGAATTGTGACTTTGGGCGATCAAGTCATTAATAAGAGTACACATTTTTTATATATTGAGTCTATTGTTCAGAGTGATGATGAAATAGATAGGGATATTATTAGTAGAATTAAAGTTGGAAGGTTGAAGTAGAGAAATGCGTCAGGCTTATTGTGTGATAGAAAAGTCTCTCTCAAACTCAAGGGAAATTCTATAAGATGGTAGTGAGACCTATAATGCTTTATGGTGCAGAATGTTAGCCATTAAAAGATAAGCATGATATTAAGTTAAGTGTTGCAAAGATGAAGATGCTCAGGTGGATGAGTGGCTTTACTCTTAGAGACAGAATACGAAATGAGAATATACGTGAAATGATTGGAGCTGCTCTAGTGGAAGATAAGATTAGAGAGATTCGCCTTAGATGGTTTGGTCACATAAAACGTGGACCTTATGATGACCCGGTTAGGAAAGTATATGTATTAGATTTAACTTATGTTAAGAAAGGTAAAGTTAGACTTGGTTAGAAAATATTAGAAATGAATTTTCTTTATTAGATTTAGATGAGAACTTGATGCTTAATAAGACACAATAGAGAAAAAAGATTCATGCACCCGACCCCACATAGTGGGATAAAGGCTTGTTGTTGTCATTGTACTATTGGTTTGCAAAAGAACACTCACTCATAATCTTCTCAATCTTATTTGAGTTTTATTTTTTTATCAATCCACACTATGCTTCATAATTATATTTATTTTGCACTTCTGAAGACGATTCTTTCTTAAAAGTTCTAATCTAATACCTTTAAAAATAGCATTTTGCATCTTAATCCCGCTCAATCTCTTACTTACATCCAATTGATTTTAAAAGAATAACTCTAATAGAAGATACTAGAAAAAGAAAAAAGGTTTCAAAATTTAACACCATCATAATTTAAGCTTGTTGGATTGACATGATTAACAAAAGCCAAGTTCACTAAATCCTTAGTCGCCCCTTAACATTAGTATTTAATTAAAATATTTGTTAGCAAAATTACTCAAATATCGCTCATAATCCTCTCAATCCCATTTGAGTTTCTTGGATCAATCAACACTTGCATCATAATTATGTTCATTTTGCATCTTTCCACTTTTTCCTTTTTTTCTCTAAATATATTTAACTTCGTCAAAGCCTCTTGATCTAAACTCCAGTGCTATGAAGAATTTATATCCTTCCTTTTTCCCTTCCTTAATCCTTATTACTCAACCAACTATAGAAATCACTGAGATTCTCAATATAGCCTTCCTTCCCTGTGATCATTGTACATCTTAATAGTATTTAATTTACATCATTATTTAAAGGCAAGTTTTTTTGTGAATAATTTTGTGCATTTCCTATCTACTACAAGATCTCCAGATATGCACAATCAATTTCTAGACTCTTATGAAACTTCTATAATAATCTTCTTGAAGCAATCAATCTCAAATACTTTGGATAAGACTAATAATGATGATCTTGCTTGCTTGAGGACATATTTTCTTTCAATAATGATAATTATCTATAATTACTGTCTAATTTGCGTGGTTGTAACAAACAAAATTAGATGACTACATAACTAGTAGAATTAAAATAATTAGATTGAGGTAAAGATAAAGTTGGGATGCTAATACTATCAAATCTTTTATCAACTTCAGGAAAATACAAGGAAATAATAACAAGGCAGGCTATTTTGAATGGCTATTAGCGTTGGGGAAGGAAGTTGTTTTCAAGATGCTTTCACATTAGTGTTGAAAGATGCAAATTCACTTTGGTAAAACATAGCTAATTATACAACAGAAAGACAAAAAAAGCACTTAAGGAATTTTAATAACCATCCCCATAGTTAAAGCTACGAGTATAAAATGGTTAATGAATCAAGTGCAAGAGACATTTATGAAGCCAGTATATGAACGTTCAATCCAAAAGCAATCCCAATTCTAGGCTATTAAATACAAAGCTCTTAAATAGACAGCATATACAATGTGAAGCTCGAACCATAAATACCGGACCTAGAACAGACAGTCCACGTCTCACTTCACTAACTAACGGCCTCAATCACAAAAATACAAATCTAGACACCAATATATAGTTCTTCAAGAGATCGGACCTACTTCAGTTTGAAGCTCAAATCACCAAAAATAAAGCTTGAAGAAACGTTTCATGTTTCACTGAAATTACGAGCATGCAAACACACCGGAGCTCAAAATATGTGAATACTAGGCAGACAGATCCATTTATGAAACCAACATACGAAGGTTCGCCCCAAAAGCAACGCTTTTCTCCAATTTATGAAGGTTCGCCTAATTCCATTTATATAAATCAAAATGCTAATGGTTCAATCCAAATCAACAAATCAATAATCCACTAAAATCGGAAGGCCCAAAACACAAACCATCGACCAAATAAAAATCGTACACAACCCCTAAGAACATGAAAAATCAGCGTCCACCTATTTTCACAGAGACTATGAGGTTAAAGGCGCAGAAAGAAGACTACCTTAAGCTGGGAGAGGAGATTGTTGCAAGTTCCAAAATCGTTCCTCAACAAAGCAGCTTTGAGTCGGGCAAAGATCTGTGTTACTTCGACCAGTTGCGGATCCATATCTTCCTCCTATCCCACTCTCTTCTACGGGCAGGATTATCCTGATCAAGATCCCGACTTGCACTTTTCGTTCACCTCAAAACCCTAATGTCAAAGGAATCGCCTTGGTGGCTGATAGGGGAAGCGCGGTAATGACAAATACGCTGTGGTCTTCGGCCCCAAAACAATTAGTACAAAGAATTTACACTGAAGCAAAGAAAGACGATTTTTTATTTCATAATTTCATTTTTTTAGGGGCTAATTGATTGGCTAAAAAATAAATGTATTGTGAAAAGAATATAATGTAAAAATAATATATTATTGTTGTGTTTTTAAAACTTTGAGTTAGTGTACTAAATTAAACACTACATGAAAATCATTTATTACCGACGTAATTTTCCGGCGGTTTTCAGACGGTCAATTTTCCGGCGGTTTTCCAGCATTCAATTTTTCGGCAGTTTATCATCTTATTTGGAATGTTATTATACATTAAAATAGTTTCATTTGCTATCTTATTACTAGAGTCAAGTGGAGCTATAAGATCAAAATTAATAATGTGAATAAGAATGCAATCGAGTCAAGCCATTTGGGAGCAGTCTCCATTTAGACCTGTGATATGATGCTGAGAAATAAGGGATGAAACATCAAGGAAATCGGTTGCATGCATTTAGGCATTCCAAGATCACCTCGCGACATCTGCTTTAGCACATCATCATAGCCCCTTAAGTCAGAAGACATTTACAACAAAACATTATGTTATAACTACAAATTTAATGATAAAACTCACAGAATTCACGCAAGAGGATGGCACAATGACTAAAAAGGATAACAGATAGAGGAGAAAGATGAATAATTATGTATTAAATTTTTTGAAATGCTAATTTTCATTCCATTTGTTTATAGGGATAATATAATAGAGGAACTTGCACAACAAACATAAAAGAAATTGTCCTTTTAAATGTTTGAACTATACTTACCTAAAGATATTTGGTATTTTTTTTCTTCAATTTGAGCTGCCCAACTTCCTTTCTGGAAGAGACGGTTTCGGGTGGCTGCAAGTAAGGGTGCAATCGAGTCAAGCCGACTAGCTAGAAAAAGATAACAGTAATTAAGATTACGAATTTGGTATTTTTTATTATTGCTTTTAATTTACTGTAACAACTACAACAAATATGAATTGCATTTCTGAAAATCAATATAGACATAGAATCACTGTAAAGAAATGTAAGTGGATATTACTTGTCTTTTATACAGAAGAATATGCTTGGCATAAGTCAATATCATAAAAAAGAAATATTTGTTCGTCTTTTTTTTTTTGGGCGGTGGGGGGGGGAGCGTATATTTTTGACTCTTTTCTTTCCAAAAATAGGTTATGAACCAATAAGCAACAATAAAAAAATATTTCGTAATCGATAAATAAACTCAGTTTAAGAAAAAATAGTTCTGCAAAAGCCGTGATACCAAATAAATGACTTCAATTATTTTTTGTTAGGTGGGCTGCTGCGACTGATGGAAGTAGTCATGGTGGTCAGTGGCAGTTGCCGGAGGTGGCAAACAAAAGTTAGCGGTGCTCAAGCGAACTTGCCTACGCTGTAAATCACTTTATCTCAAAACTAAACTAGGTGAGTTTGATTTATCTAAAAAATGAACTAAAATTATTTACACTATACTTGTTTTACTTTACTTTACATTCATTTTTCATAAAATTGAACATCAAAATTATCAAAATCATCGCATTTGGAATATTTTACACTCAATCAAACAACTCCTTAGTTTAATTATAAATTTAAAACTTTTATTAATTTATTCTTTCCACATTAAATTAAAATTTTCATTATTATTTGTGCTGTAACAAAAATTAACTCACATAAGGAATTAAAAATTATACTTTTTAGTATTCTTTGTTACGTAATATCTAGTATCTAAAAATATTATAATAGATATATTTTTTTGTCATCTCTCTAGTCTCTACTAAATGGCATATTTGATTACTTGAAGATAAATAATGATAATTTTTTATTTCAATATGAAAATAAAATCATTACATCTAAATATATTATTCTCGTAGGATTTCTCCAAATATCTCCTTATAGTCGAAAAACTTTCTCATCATTAGTGAAGTTGCTTAAATAATGTTTTTCATATAGTGAACTTGGGGTGTCAATTTTGAGGTCACCAGTTTGGTTCGAGTCGAATCCAAAATTGATCCGGCACTATTTGGGTCAACTCAAACACGAACCATTTTGAAAATGAGTTAGTTTTTCGGACCCGAATCCGAGCTGCTTCGGATTTGGATCAACCTGACACGACCTGAATGGCCCGGTGACAACAAAAAAATAATAGTTTTCAGGTCCAAAAACGGGTCAATCTCCGCTCTTCGAGTCAAAAAAACGGGGCAATCTCGGGTTGTCGAGTAAAAAAGGGTTTTCAGGTAAAAGCAGGTCAACTTCGGTCAAAGGGTCAACCCGAACCCGAAACGACCTGAACCCAACCCGTTTCGGGTTCAGATTGACTCTAACTCGAAATTTTCGGATCGAATTCGAGTCAAATTTTCTGGTCTTGTTAAATATTGACACCCCTATAGTGAACACAACCACACAAAACTCTCCTAATAGGTTGGACAAACTCAAAACCTAATTTACAAAGCAAATCCGCCTTTATAATATTCTCCAAATATTGGGTGGCATCCAAAGATCACAGCAACAAATCAAATCATCTCATTCTTTACAAACCATTGATTGAAAATACTACAATTTTAAATAATTAGCGAACTTTTCTAGAGAGACCGAGGCTTTGTTTGGGATGACTTTCTTACCTGTTTTTTAAAGCAATTTTTTAGCACAAATTTTTTTATTTTTTAATAAAAAATTGTTTTAAGAATCAGAAAAAAGCTGCCCAAATGAAGTCTGAGAGAAATATCTATGATTTATTAGTATTATTAATATTATTTGATAGGAATGCAAATCAAATTGCCGTGCTTAAGCTATAAATTAGCCGTCGCAAACCCTAAAATTGGTTCAGGCGAGATTGGGGGAAAGCGAGAGCAAGAAGCAGATGGCGAAGTCTATGAGGTCGAAGCGAAAGCAGAGGCTGAGGTCTCTAAGGAGGGAGATCGCGGAGCCCTTCTACGAGAAGAAGGAGGCTGCTAAGCTTGCCGCTCAGCAAGCGGCTCTTGAAGCCCCAAAGCTTCCTGTACGCGTCCGCAAGAATGAATCCGAGGCCGATGTGCCAGCCGAGACGTCCACTGCCATGGGTTAGCTCTATCTTCCCGTTTGTTTTGGTTTCTTGTTGACACCTGTGTGATTTCTATGCAATTTGTACTGAATCTTCATAATGAACTGTTTCTTTTTAGCCTGTTGCTCGTGTAGAGATGAGCCATTCTGAGCCCACTTTGAGGGCCGTTTTTTTGCATGTGATTTAGAGTATTTTTTTCAATCATTGTCTGATTGATCTGAAATTTGATTATATTTCACCTCTGATAGTTTGATGAGTTTATTAGATTCTGTCATTTGGTTGGATATTAAGTTCGAAATCAAAATGGGTTTTAAACTTTGCAGTAGATTTAATATCCCTTAACATCAAGGATTACATATTTTCATTAATAGTGAGAAAGAGATCATAAATTTGTAAAACATGTTTTTTCCGATGAGTTCAATGTATTGAATGCCTATATATTATGATTTATGATCATCTCTTAATTGCTCGTTTTGTGTAGATATCAATTGTTAAGACATTATTTGAAAGAGGAGTATGGTCGGGATCTTGAGAGAATTAATGATGGAATAGCTATGAGGGATTATTTAGAGGCTAATGGAAGTGGCGATAGGGTTTAGTGGTTGACCAAAGCTTAATTACCTAACTCAGTCGATAGCAATAATGGGAGAGGGGAGTGGTGATACAAATAGTAAGACGGGATCATTTTGAAGTCCTCACAAAAGATCTTCAATTACATAAAGGGGACCACCAAGCCATTGGAACACAATAGTATATTTGAGACTCTCAATGAAGAACTCCAAAGGGAGAAAAAAAGCCACCAACTATCTTCAGATACTGGAAACCAAACAACAAAATTATTTCTCTTTGACGATCAAATATATTAATTATATAACATTTACCTATATAGAGAATAACGTAAACATAACCTACATGAATTCAGGGATGGCTGACCTATGAATGAATGGAAGGTCTTAAACCACTCCTCAATTACAGTAATTAGTTATTTTAAGTGTTGGATGGCCGTGACATAATAGTAAAAGTCTTTTTATATGAATAAGCACATTGTGCATTTTAAATACTTTAGCAGTGTCATGATTTATTTTTTGCCAAGATAGTGACAACATTATTTGAGCACATGTTGATTCATATTGATGGGAGGGCTGGCCATTGTTGAATGGAACTTTGATGAAGCTTGCTTTGATTGATTATGATTATCAAATACTTGTCTTGTAATGTAGGAGGACATTTGTATAGATAATGATGAAAATACTAACCCTTCCTCACATCAACATGCATGATATTCATCATAGCAGTATTTGAAATTGGATGCATTGGTGACACCATTTCTACTTTACCTTTAATAACTCTACTACACGAAGTTAAAGTTGTTGTAGTCTTCACAGGGGCTGATGCTAACTTGTTTGAATTAGTGGTTATCAAATGCATTTTTGCTGAAGGAGGCTTGAGTCACATTGAATTAACTTGGTCTCCTGCGAGAGTTAACTTGAATGTATTTGCTATTGTTTATCATTATTGGATGAGTCATAGCAGCAGAAAGATCATGTTAGGATTTGCACATTCTGTAGATGCACATGATAGATGTTTTTTTTCAATTTTTATTTTGGAGAAATAATTTTATTATAATTAAGTTTTGGGCTGAGAGTAGGTTGATCGGATGCAGAACTAGTCATTAACTAGGGAGACCTTGCTTTAGATTTTTGAATGGGCATGGAAATAGGTCCAATGTTGAATTTTTTGTAATTGGTGGATAAGGTTTCTCTAGTGGTTAGTAGGAATTTTATTGAGAGATTTGTCGATCATGGGGTTTCTATGAATAAGGTTTAATTTAGGGCATTGATGACGTAGAAATGCCAAGGTATTAGTTTGGTGATGTGTGGCACTAAGGATTAATTGATTTTTCAATATGAGTTTTACTATATCCAAAAAAAAAAAAAGGATTAATTGATTTTTAACATATTCGTACAATTTGTATAATTTGTCATTGGTGACGCAGGCATTTTTTAATTTTTATTAAGGTCCTCTAACATTTATTTTGACTTCATAATGATCTGCACATAAGTTATGAAAAATTTAAGAAAAAAATTATGGGTCATATATGCATTGCTAATCAGAAGTATTATGGAAAAATATAGACAATTAAGTTTCTAGCAATTTCACATTTGAAAGTTCAATATATGAAGCTTTATGTTGATGTAATATTGGGCACTTCAAATCTTCCCAAAGATGTTGTGGATTTGCTTAGGCACTAATACCAAATGAATGAGAATAATGGTACAGATCTTGAAGGATTTAATGATAGGATTGTTATGAGGGATTATTCGGAGGCTTATAGAAGTGGTGCTAGGGTTTTGCGACCAAGGCTTGGTTACTTGGTCGAGAGAAACAATGGGATAAAAGAGCGGACATGTAAGTAATAAAAGGGTTTAACTATGAAGATCTAACAAAAAATTTTCATTTGGTTGAAGGAGCCCCTAACTACTTCAATATAGAATTATCGTTGAATCTCTCAACTCCAAAGAGAGAATAAATGCATCATTAAACTTATCTTTAAAAGAAATTAAAGAAAAAAATCTCTGTTCAATGATTGTTTCATGGTTACATAACACTTATATAGATAATAGCATGAAAATATCCTAGACTAATTCAAGGGTGTCTAGTTTATGCATTAATGGAAGTTTTAAAACTACTCTGCAATTATAATATTTAGTTTTATTTAAGTGGTGGCCGATCACGGCATAATTGGAAGTGAGTGGTTATGAAAATAAGTAGATGGTGAATTCCAGGTATTTTATGGTTTAGCAATGCTTTATTTAATAATAGAGTGGCACCATTATTTGACCATATGTTGATTTATAAAGAGGGGAGGATTCACCATGGTTAAATGGAACTTATTGAAGCTTTCTATGATTGATTTTGATCATCAAACACTTGTCTTGTTATAGAGGAAGCCATTTATCAAATTTTTGATCTTCATCGTGGCCATGCTTGAAGTTGGGCTCTTGCGTTGTGGCCAGAAGCTGGGCTCTTGTGTCGTGTCATTACTTCGGTATTGTGTTTCAAAACTTACCAAATGATATATCTATATTCTTTATATTAACCCACACTGAAAGAAAACATCTCATTTGAAAATTTAGATTTACAAACAAGGAGTGAGCTCCTTTTCAAAGTGGGGCTATCTTTATTTTGATTGTTTCTTTACTATATATCCATATAAAACAATAGAAGAATGTCATCATTTGAGTTTTCACATGGACAAAAACAGGAAAAGTCCATTTTCAAAAGCAATGAAATGAGGGATCTCTATTTCAAAATTGAATAGGCATATATTTATATAATATCTTTTATATATTTACTTTTAAAAGAGTGAGAATTTCTATCATTTTAAAAACTTAAGGTTAATAAAGATCTATTTGTCCTTTAAAATAGTATTAAAGTTTTGGTATGATATTTAAATTTTTTTTATCCAATCTCAGGTTGATGTTATACTTCTTATTGATAAGACTAGGAGGGAGTAGAAGGAAAACTTGAATTATGGAGGTCAACTTTAGAGTCTAATGTTTTTCATTTGAGTAGATCTAAAACTGAATACATGTAGTGTAATTTTAGTAGTATAGATCTTGTGGTGAGATTGTGACATTGGGTACGAGTGCATATTTTAGATATCTCGGGTCTATAGTTCAAAGCGATGGTAAAATAGATGGGGATATTATTAGTAGAATTCAAGTTGAATGGTTGAAGTGGAGGAATGCATCAGGCTTGTTGTGTTATTGAAAAGCGCCCCTCAAACTTAAGGGAAAAATTTTATAAGATGATAGTGAGACATGCTGGTGCAAAAAGTTTGACAGTTAAAGAGAAATATACAAATAAGTTAAGTGTTGCAGAGATGAACATGCTCAGGTGGATGAGTGGCTTTACACTTGGAGACAATATGGTAAATGAGTATATTTGTGAAGTGGTTGGAGTAGCTCCAATGGAAGCTAAGATTAGAGAGACTTGCTTTAGATGGTTTGTTCACATAAAACGTCGTCCTTCTGATGTCCCAATTAGGAGAGTAGATGTATTAGATCCGGCCTATGTTAAGAAATGTAGACGCATACATAAAATTTTTTTCTTAGAAAGTTTTAGAAATGACTTTTTTATTAGATTTAAATGAGAATTTGACTCTTAATAGGACAGAATGAAGAAAAATGATTCATCTAGCTGACCTCACGTAGTGGGATAAAGGCTTGATTTTGTTGTTGTTGTAATCTCATGCCATCACAATTGGGTAGCTAACTAACATACAACCATAACCATTAATCAAACATATTTTGATGTTTTATGAGAATCTATAAATTGTTAATACAAAAATCATTATATTTATTAAATATGAACCTCTCATTTGAGGTGTAATATGATTGATGACTGAAAGAACAAGTAACCGACGATTGGATTATTCATCCAAGAGTTCTGGATTAAGGGTTTGTTAGGGATAGGTTGTCAAGCCTGTTAAGATATCTGCCCTGCCCATCTTCATAATTTCTGGAATAGAGTCGAACTTCTTCTTGCTAAGAACAAGCAACAAATTACTAAAAAGGAATGATAGAATAATTCCATGATCGTGGGGTGCATGCTTGTTAAGCTGCTTGTGCATCTCTGTGCGATTAATGACATATTTATTTCACGTAACAGAAACTAAACAGTAAACAATTTTCCAAATGAAGTCTCATCCATGGCGTTGAGAAAAAGAAGACGTTTGTTCATATAATTTTGATTGGGCTTCGTTTATTGGCTTAAATTTTGGGTGTAAAGATGCATAATTTCTACATCAGGTGATGGGCAAAGCGAGCAATGGAGACATTTTTAGACAGTTTGAAGCTGTTACAAATTGTAGAAGAACTTGCTAGATCTATCACGAGGATTGTTGTTCAATATATGGATGTAGATTTGCAAATTTGATGCATCAGAAGTACTTTTTTCACTTGATTTTGGCTTCATTTGGGACGGCTTTTTGCTACTTAAAACAGCTTTTTAGTAAAAAAATTAAAATTTTGTACTGAAAAGCTGCTTTAAGAAGCAGGAAGAAAGCCGTCCCAAATGAAGCCTTTGTCACAATTACTCTTGTTGCCATGAAAGCTTCGTTTGAGACGGCTTCTTAAAGCAGCTTTCTAATACAAAAATTTAAATTTTCTAATATAAAGCTACTTTAAGAAACAGTAAGAAAGCCCGTTCCAAATGAAGCCGAAACATACACTTTTTCATATGATATTTTCATGTGATTTTGAGACCTAGAGTGTTTATATGGAAATATAAAGATCAAGCATTAGATATGGTTCCCTTTTTCTTGCGGTGTACTTTTTATACATTACAGTATATGTTTTATTTAGCTTTTAAAATTGTCTGAATAGACGTCGAAGTTGCTGATGGAGTAAGCTCTCATGGAGATGATTCAAAAGCACTTCTAAAGCCGGTGGGAGGGATAGGAAAGAAGAAGTTAAAAAGGCAGTTACTGCTGAAGAAGCTGAAGAGACGTGGCAGAGGCAAAGGTAAAGCAAGGCTGCGAAGGAGTCGAAAGGTTTAGCTATCAGCTTAGATATGTGAAATTTAAGTTGACTGAATATCATTTTGTCCTTCCATTTTATTCAGATGCATTTTACTATTTGTTGGTGGTCTTCTTTTAGCGTGCAAACTATTATTTTGATTACATTAACGAATCATTGCCAAGATTTTGCAAGTTTTACTAACGCTGTAGAATAACATTTCAGAATTATGTATTTTTTATTGGGATTGTTCTTTGGAGTTTGTTTCTTTTGTGTTTAATTTTTCATTAGAAGCAAAGTGGATCATTTATTTGTTTCACGACATAGGATTTTACTAAGGGCATCTTCAACCGAACTCCAAACGCTTGAATGATGCTCCTGGCCAGCTCCAGCCGAACCGCAAAATTTTCGCTATTTGGCTGCAGGTCAACAGTGGGACGCCAATCTTGGCGTTGCACTGTTCATCTCCGCCATTTTTACCTCTCTACCGAACTTGCCGCGGGAAAGAAGAGGTGACCGTTACTTGCAAAAAGGTGAAAAATGGCGTTCTATTGGAGATGAATCACGACATTTTGTAGTTTCACGGCATCTTGGAGTAAAAAAAGTGAGATTTTCTGTTGGAGATGCTCTAAGGCTTCATTTGTGGAGAAATTATTCGATGCGGAGACCGGATGCAAAACACTGTTCAAACTCCAATCATAATGCGTCACGTCAGCGGTACCGAGCGAAGGGGTGATGTAGTGCATTTTGGTTGATCTCCGGACAACGTTCGGTGCCTGCTACACATAGAATAATTTCTCATTTGCGACAGTTAGGCTTGTGACAAGTTTTGGCCACTGTTGTTTTGCTGATTTAAAAAAATTTTGAGTAAAATATTTTTATTAGATTTCAGCACTGAGCAGTGAGCTCTTATATAGATAAGAAAGTTTGTATAATTATTATATATTTATCTATAAATTATAAAAAATTATGCATACAAATATATACTTTACTTTTAAATAAATAAATATGTAAAATATTTTTAATATAATTTAAATTTTGATCATTATATAAACAAATATAAAAATTCACTGATAAATATATAAATATTCAGTATTATATTTATAAATCCTCTAATAAGTAAATATTAAATTTATTTATTATATGTATAAATTTATATAATTTTTGGAATGTGTATAAATATAACTCCCTTTTAAAATGTGTTTCATTTTAATCTCCAGAAAAAAATTATAATTACATAAAAATTCTCTAATATGTAGGTAAATTATTATTAATTTTTATGCATCTTCAAAGTTGATCACACTAACAAAGGAGAAATTATTATGTAGGCAGTCCGAACGCAGGGATAGGTTCGGATATTGCGTATTTACTGTTTATTTGTTGTGTATTTTTTGTGTATTTATTTTTAGGTATTTATTGTGTATTTAGTGAGTATTATTTATTTGTTATTTTTTTGACACAAAAAAATTTTGTATAAAAAAATATGCAACAAATAAACAGTAAATAAGCAGCATCCGAACACGTTCGGATTAGGTACAAAATAATTTCTCCTAACAAAGGCCGTCCTTAACCCGATCAGTCATAAACGCAAACACCTGGCTGATTTCTCACCTTCCCGCCTCCCTCCATTACCAATTCCCTCTCAGCAGTTCGGTTTCCCACAAATGTCATTACCAGATCCAAAAATCCACAAGAAAGAGATGGAGGAGCTTCTTAGTATGGGCTTCTCGGAGGATCTCGCTTCTCAGGCCCTCGCCGCCACCGCATCCTCTTCAACCACTTCAGCCAACCCTTCCGTCGAAGCCGCTGCCGACTGGATCCTCACTCACACCTCTCAATCCTCTCATTCCCCTCCAACGCTGTCCTCCCAATCCAACCTCCGCCGCTTCATCCTTTCCAAACCCGCCCAGCCTCTCAAACCCTACCCCTCCAAACGTCTCAAACCATCTCCTTCGTCTCTCTCCCCTCTCTCCGAACGCATGCGTCCGTCCACTGTCGACCTCATAGTCGGCCAAGACCACCTCCTCTCCCCCGGCTCCCTCCTTCGCGGCGTGGCTGGTGGCCCTCTCCCCTCTCTGCTTCTCTGGGGTCCTCCTGGCTCTGGCAAAACCACCCTCGCTCGCGCCATCGCCGCTTCTCTGTCCTCCCACCGCTTCCTCCCTCTCTCAGCCGTCACTGCCACCGTCGTTGACCTCCGCCGCGCCATCGACGAAGCCCGCCGCTCCCGATCCCAAATACGCACAGTCCTTTTCGTCGATGAGATCCATCGATTCTCCAAAACTCAACAGGACGCCCTCCTCCCCGCCATTGAAGACGGATCCATCATCTTCCTCGGTGCCACCACCGAAAACCCCTCATTCCACCTTACGAACCCCCTTCTCTCCCGTCTTCGCGTTCTCGCCCTCCGCCCTCTTGAACCTCATCACGTCCGCTCCCTACTTCTTCGCGCCATTGATGACGTCGACCATGGCCTCCTACTCTCCACTAACGGCGCCTCCGTTACCATAGATGATGAAGCGCTTGAGTTTCTTTCCCTTCATTGCGATGGCGACGCCCGCGTCGCACTCAATTCGCTTGAAGCCTCGGCAGTCTTAGCCGTGAACCGAAGCTCTGGCATTGGCGAGGGAACAGTCATTATCACAACTGCGGATGCGAAGGAGGCCATGCAGTGTAAGCATTTGGCTTACGATCGTGATGGTGAAGAGCACTATAATCTCATCAGTGCGCTGCACAAATCGATGAGGGGAAGTGATGCAGATGCAGCCATTTACTGGCTGACAAGAATGCTCGAGGGAGGAGAGCAGCCATTGTACATTGCCCGGAGGCTTGTGAGGTTTGCAAGTGAGGATGTTGGACTTGCAGACACTGCAGCGCTCGGCCATGCCGTTGCTTGCTACCAGGCCTGCCACTTTATTGGGATGCCGGAGTGCGATGTCTGTCTTGCTCACTGTGTTGCATATCTTGCTCTGGCACCCAAATCTGTGGCGGTTTATAAAGCTCTGAATGCCGCAAAGAGAGCTGTGAAGGAATCGGTGGGGGGGAATGAGGGGGTGCCACTGCATTTGAGGAATGCTCCGACAAAGCTGATGAAGCAAATGGGATATGGAGATGGGTATTTATATCCTCCTGATCATCCTCAACTTTGTAAAGGGCAGAGTTATCTGCCAGATTCACTTAAAGGTCGGAAATTTCTCCAATGGCCACCACTGGATGTAGAGCAGCTGTGAAGTTTGGTTAACCGGTATGTTTTTAATATATAAGCTTTTTCAACTGGTTCTTGGGGTGCAAGCTATGTTAGTATAGTATCCTTTTTAGTATTCTGTTTTGGAGAAATTATTCTGTATGGTCTGGTAGACATCCAGAACCATCCGAATTTGCTGTTATTTTGCTACATTTTTGTAAATATTCAACAAAATGGCAGCAAATATGTAATGATAATGCACTTTTGTTGCTTTTTTTTGTTGAGTATTTGTAAAAATGTAGTAAACGAGCAACAAATTTTCAATTAGTAAGATATTTGCTGTACTTTAGCTGATCTTTTACAAATACTCAGCAAAAAGCATTACCTTTTGCTTAGTATTTACAAAAGCGCACTAAAAAAACATCTAAATCGCAGTAAATCCGGGCGGTTCTTGACGTCCGGTCTCCGCAAAGAATAACTTATCTCTATTTTGTGGATATTTTACGTTATGTTGCTGTTGCATTCCGGTTTGACGGATGTGAAAGTTTGGATGCAGAGCTTTAATAGAAAAGGAGATTTTGCTGACTTTTTTTTTTCTCATAGTGGATATTTTGTGTTTTCTTATGTTTGTCATGTTTAGATGTCTTAATGCAACAATAATGAATTGAAATTGATGATTGAAAAACCTATCTATAAATAGTTGGGATGAGGTTGATTATGATAATGATTTAGGTTTTGTATGGACGGTTTTTTTATTGCTTCTTAAAACAAGTTTTTAGTGCAAACATTTAAAATTTTATACTAAAAAATTGCTTTAGGTTTCGTTTGGGACGAATTTTGCAATTTGCCCCCCCCCGCCCGAAAAGCGAGATTTAGATGAGATTAAAGATTTAGATGGCTTTCTTATTGCTTTGTAAAATTATTTTTTAGTCAAAAAATTTCTTAAAAACAGTGGTCTAAAATGTCACAAACGAAGCCCAAATGCGACACCAAGAAGATCCTGTTGCCTCAAATTTCCCAATATATTTTATTATAGCCAGTTTTTAAATGATACTTTGAAGATATTTGTTTATTTACCTTAGCAGCTCCTATATTTTTCTTGCAATGATATTGATAGGGCTAATTTGTTAATGATTTCGGATGGAAATGCAACAAGAAATACTTTTCAAACCTGTAGGTTAAGGTTCAGCGCCTAATTTATATCCTTTACAACAATTGATGTTAACAATGCATGGCTTGATGATGTATGAGGCATCATACAGAGCTCATCTTCAGCAATCTCAGCTTGTGCATGCTTGAACTTCTAATGAACAAGTTCTTAGTTTTGTTCATTGAGGTGCTTAATTTTACATATCTTCAATACTATATAACAAAGAAAATTTCTATAAGATGTGTATAAAAATCATCATATAGTGCTGAATGTCCTTTTTTTTTTAATAAAGACAATAATGATAGAAAATACACTTAAAAACTCGAATGAGAGAGACTTCATGATTATATTTTATTATTTTCTAAAACTTCTTAACATAAAAAAAAAAATTTTAGTTCAAAGATTTTTTTATTAAAAAATCGTTTCAGAAATCAATAAATAAGCTGTCACAAACAAGCTACAATTTTGATCCAAAAAAATTTTTCCCATTTGGCTGATTGGAAGTGACTACTTTTTTATAATGTGCGCTCATGGTGTTTTTTTCTTTCATGTACGCTCAGATTTTAGTACAGTGCATCTCCAAGTTGCAATTTGTATAGGTCTATCCCTTAGCCACTAAGAACCCAATTTTAATCACTCATTGAATAAAAATTTGGACAAGTTCTTAGATGTCGATTCACATCCCTTTCAAATGAGAAATTATTTTGTGAGGACGCCGGATCATTTAGAGGTGAATCAGAGCGCGTTATATCACCTAGTACACAACGGGTACACAACCGCGGTACACAACAAAGAAGTGACGCGGCGAGTTCTCATTTACCTCCAAACGACATTCGTATCCACAGAATAATTTCACCTTTCAGACACAATTGAAAATAAGACTGCACAGTATCTACCGTCATTTGAACTTCATTTGTGACTACTTTCTTAACGCTATCTAAAGTACCTTTCCATTACACCAATTCCTTGTTAAAAAAGACTTATAATAACAAATTGAATCAAAAAATAATAAGAAAGCTATTCGAAATGAATTCTTAATCCATACATGAAAAAACATAAAGTGAGGTGTAGCAACAGAACCCCACTAAATTGATCAACTTGTTCAAATCTAAAATCTCTTCATTCATTACTGCAAAAACTTGAAAGCTGCCGCATAGTTCATATGTTACATTCAAATAAAAAAAAAAAATTAAGAATTACAGAATTTAGATATCCTGCTCTGTAGACTATGGTAAGATCGCAAATCTTGCACTAAAATACTGGACTAATTTTCATAATTCTCCAAAAAGAACTTAACAAGAATTTAACCTACAGTATTCAGAAATACAAACCGATCAATGTAAACAGATCGCCTGACCTGCATGGACTGAAGTTGTGTGCAGAATGGCATTAAAAGAAGGCCAATTATTTGTAGTGCTGGGAAACGTCTCGTACAAGTTTATCCATGAACTGGCATTTCTTGTCAAATCCCCACCCTGGGTTGCTCTGCAGTAGTAATTGATGTGTGGGAAACATTAAAATGCCAAATCTTCAAAACGAAGAGCCATGAATAGGGTTGGCAAATCAAGGGAGTTTTAACTGCCTCAATAACAGCTTATGAACTAAAATAATAGGTAAAACAAAATGAGATCTTCAGGCACTATTAAGAAATTCAAGCGCACATGGTGATGTTATCACTTGGCAGGTCGGGTTTGGGTGACCTGAATCTGATGTGGGTCAGGTTCGGGTCCAAAAAATTGATCCGTTTTTAAAAATGGGTCGGGTTTGGATCAGATCGAATAGTACCGGGTTAATTACATATTGCCGACAACCCTATTCACTTGAGCAAAACATGCTCTTTGGTCCTGGCTCATGGTTACACTTAAGCACTTGTGCCACTTACTGTTATAAGTTTTCAAAATCCTTTTTTTTTTAATTTTCATATTCTTCTATGACAAATGGTGTACAGCTACAAATAGTGGTTTAATCTATCATGATTTGATTTTACTAGTTTTAGGCTTCGTTTAAGATGACATTCTTACTACTTTCTAAAGCAACTTTTCAGCACAAAAATTTCTAATTTAATTTTTTTTTACTAGAAAACTATTTTAGAAATCAATAAGAAAGCTATCTTAAAAGAAGCCTTAATCTTCTTCAACTCAAATAGGGATAATAGCCATTGTTCTCAATTATGGATTACTTGTGCTATGCTTATGTTTTATTCTGATGCAGATACACAATAGCAATCAATAGCCATCAAAGAGAACTTAATCAAAAGCAACTGTAAAGTAACTACAGCTCCATTTTAATCCTATATAAATGCATAAATCTCAATAGACCAAATAGAAATCCGGTATAAGTGAGATCAAAATTTTGGTAGAAGGTAAGCCAAGGTAGTAAGCTCATGCCACCTAAATGAATATAAGCAGGTTGCTTAATGAACGCCCCAAATACAGCAACCACATAAAAAACCATCCCTTGACCTAACCAAGATAAAAGTTGATACCATATGAAGGCCTCAGGTAGTTCACCGAAAGTTCCAATAGACCACAGTTTGGGGAATGGATGAGGACAGGCAAAAAAATTACCTCTGAGATTGAGGTGGGAATGAATTCCAGAAGAGTCTACTACGAGAACCTTAAAAGAAAATTCTCCTTATAAGTAAGATTCAATAAGGGCCACAATACTTATCTCTACTTTTGTGGTAAAGATAATGGATGAAACTCTTCTTAGTAAGTTCAAAGTTTGTCAAAGAAGACTCCTATCCAACCATGAACATGATAGGAAGTACTTGAGTTCGCAAGTAAGCCTATGATGGCATACATGAGTTCGCAAGCAAACCTATTATAATTTGGTGAAAACAGTGATAAATAGGCTGATTTCAGAGAGAAATCAGCAAAACGATGCAGGAATTTCAGAAGATTGGAGATAAAACACGATGATAACTACTTCTATTCAATCCACGAACAAGAAAAACAATACAAGATGCAAGTTTCTTCAATTCGAGAGGAAGAAACAACTCTTCAAATCTCTAGCAAAGCCTAGAGCCCAAAAGAACAAATCCTAGATCTCAAATCTTCTCCAAATTCCAGATGAAAAGCAAACCCTAACTAAAAAGACTAATTAAAGCCAAAGGACTCATACAAAAAAACTAAACAGCCCTTAATTCAAACTTTCCCTCCTAAACAACGATTACATTAAGCAATTGGGCTCACTAGGACATCCGGCCCCCCTCCCCTTGGTTCCGCCCCCAACCTGGTTTGGGCTGCTTGCTGTAGCAAAGAACCGATCGGTTGGACCAGTTTAGCTGGCCCCTACTAGGCCGGCCTAACATAACACAATAGAGCATCTTATCAGGTAAAGTCTATGATAACCCTCCATGAGACATCTGATGCCATAATGTGTCACGCGGTAATCATAGCTTTGAAAGGTGCCGCATTACGATGCTTATATAGGCTCATAAATGGGATATTCCGTCATTTGATGTGTTTAAGTGACAGCTCGTCACCTAAATTGGAGAATTTGTAAGCTGAGAAAAAATTGTCAAACTCTTCTCAATGTGACAATGCACACCATTAAGACTTAAAATAAGTCACGGTGGACCTATATAATGTGGTTCACTAAGGAGGTTAATGAATTGAACCTTAGAATGTCCTTCATGAGCCTCATCTAAGCCCTTAGGAGCGACAAGTTCAAGTTTGTTGTAGTGAAGAAACTAGTACATAAGGAGATTTCATAAAGGTAAACAAGTGCATCAATGTAATTGAGTTCATAAAGGGGAAGAGAGAGAGAGAGAGAAATGCGGCAAAGGAAAATAAAGTAGAATAGCCAACGATTTGGGGAGAAAATATCTTGAAATTTTATTCAACAATTAAATACCACAATCGTGACTTGAATCACAAGTTGATATGCTCTCAATCAACAAAAAGTGTATCACCTTCAGTTTCAATTTAAAAGAAACCGAATTGAACCTTAGAATGTCCAAGTGGCCCTCATGGGCCTCATCCAAGCCCTCAGGGACGCAAGTTCAAGTTTGTTGCAGTGAAGAAACTAGTTCATATTTGATAGATGATAGAACACAAAGCCCTCTATTAGCTAATATTAATTCAAATATGCCCCATAGGCAAACATACACCCCAAGTCTATAAAGTATCATTGAACGATGCAACCCATGGCTCCTGACAAGGATCCTTAGATCAGACTGATCGACTATCTTCTCTGACTAAGTAAACTATGGACCATGCATCTCAGAATGACGGAATAATGGGATCTTGATTGGGCCCATCATCATTCCCCCATTGCCTTCTTTAAGTGTACGGATATAAATTTCAATTCTTAAAAGAAATTTCTCAAATCCAATTTTAAACCCTAAAATTACTGCTACTATAAACCGAGTATTTAACAACTAGCATTAATCGAAAGTGTTTTTTCATTATCAGGAGGGATAATTAACCATAGGGGCTTACGCCTATGAGAAGTCATACCTCAAATTATAAAGTCCTCGCAAAATGAGGTTGAAATTTCTTAGTAGTGTTTTATCTAAAATCCAATTTGCCTTATGAAAATTTACTCCAGAACTTTAATTTATTAAAACTCATATCGTCAACGAAAAAGGCGTGGAAAGGCCGGGGAATGAATTTTCAGAGCCCACAATAGCTAGAAAATTTCCAATGACTTTCCTTCTCAAGAAAAGTAATAATTTTAGTGAAGGGCATCACAAGTAATCCATTTTTCATGAGATTTGATTAATTGTCAAATATTTACAAAAAATGATGAAACTAAAATACTAAGTTCTCTTAGGTTGCAAATCAATATCAATGATAAAATTCTTAGATTTGCAACTAGACATTAAAAAACTAATTACATGGAAAATAAACCTTTTCTCATGTAAAAGGATTTTAGACAAATATGAGATAATTTCTCCTAGGTTAGTTTTCAAAGTACTGCTTTTATGAACTTCAAAAGTACAAAAAGTTGTGGTTAAAAATTTATTGATAGCTAAGTTGATAAATGACAATGTTAAGATGAATGAATGATAAAAAATGAGAATACATAAAGAATGATTGTATTAAAGTAATGATAAGAGTGGCCCTATTCAACATATAATGAAGATTAGATCATTGTTGAAAATAGATTTAAAGTCATTTAAACATATACGATAAATAATATAAAATGCAATGGGCATGCGCACACATGGACAAATACAAACTCAAAATGCATGGATATGAATGTTTATATATTTTGCATATAATTAACCTTGGGCTCCATATTGAGTGCTTACTCTATTTTGATCAAGCTTTTTTTTTTTTTTTGCAATTCCTAGCCACATAACTCTTGGTCCATCCTATGTTAATTCTACTCTCACATTAAATCTCTACATTTGTTTCATTGGTGAATTTTCTTTCCCTCTTATACATGCCCAAACTGCCTAGGTCTCACTTAAATGGTCTAATCTTCCATCTTCACTACTTTCATAATGTCTGATACACTTATTCTCTCACTACCCTTCAAATTTTAACCAAACATACATCAAAGCATTCTCATTCTAACACTCAATTTGATTGACAGTAACTTGCATGATTGAACAATAAAGTTCAATTCCAATGTCCACGTAAACATATCCCATGACCCATATAGTATTGAAAATTGGTCAACTGAGAAAATTAAATTCTAAGCTCCCCACTTATTGCTCCCTACATCCTTAGCATTGACTAGAATGATATACATGAAGTGAAATTTCAAGATAATTTCTAACTCTAGCATGTTCTACATCCCACAAAATTATTATCGATGCAGGATATTACGTTTAAACTTTAATCATATGAAGTTGACCAATAAACTTCATGAGAAAATCCTAATAGATTGTTACTCTAAAAAGAGCCAATGTGCAGCAGCTCTGGTATACAGATAGAAAATAAACAAAAAGCACAAACCTGTAGAGAAAGGACAGTACGATCAGCAAACCTCCTTACAGAAGAAGGAACTTTTTCTGGAAGAGTATTTGCCACTCTTTCCAACTCCTCTTGTTGTTGTTTAGCAGTCACTCTATCAGGACCAGAGTACATATCAACAAGCTCTTTCATATGAGGCAACCTTTCCATTAAGTCTTTCACAGCTTCCTAATAGAGATAAATATGACAGTACACTAGTTAGGAAAACCGAACTACAAAATATGAAAGTTTAGTAAAGGACCTATACCCAACTTATGAACAGCCAAACAAAATTTATTTGAGTTCAGAAGCAATTAAATACGTAAGTTTATGCAGGTAGTCATAGAATGAGGTGGGCATGAGCAAATCCAGTATATTGCGGCATGATTGCTTGATAATAGCATCTATTGCTCTAACCCCAAAATGAAAATATACTTAGGCAGTGAATAAGAAACATGGAAATTGCTGTGATTGTATGAAGGTTTCTTTGAAGGTAAGAAAAACTTTATTTGGTTGATTGCAACGATTTTATATTAAGTTTCTTACAAAAAAGCTTGGTAGAAAAATACGCGAGCAATTTGCCCTAAATTGTCTGAATGGACACAAGATAGTCCCATATATACCCTGCTTGCTTCGGGCACTCATCTATAAAACCATCAAAATGCTCTTTTAGAAATTTTTTGTTAAAAAAAAAAAAAAAACTATCAAATACAGTATCACAAAAAAAACCAGTGTGGATTTTTTCCCAGATTTGAAAAACAAGTACACTGGTATTTGGCGCTAACTTGCAGTTCTCTTAAAAGGAACTATAACCACAGCAACAATACTGCTCCACAACTTCACCAATTTATTCAAAAAAAAGTTCGCTCTTTGGATTAGTGGAATGGAATCCCTTCAAATCATTGACTGCATTTTTTCTCATCTTCATCAGGCATTCCCTATGACAAACATCTTCCAACAAACTTCCTCCACACTGCTTTTGGCAAAAATTCATTCTATGCAATTTTTACGGTTCAAAGTTTACTTCACACTATTTTTGTACACTGTTTTTAAAGGCGTTTTCTGAACTGATGAGGTAAGAATACACTGCGCAGAAGGGGTGGTGATGGGTGTTTGACCTGTGGGGCATTTTGTTTTGGCATGTGATGCACCCCTTTTGCACCTTGGTTGGGAAGCTTGCATCCAATAAGACCAATGATTTATCTGGCTTCAAAGATTAGAAGGCTAAGTCCACGGTCAAATAAATCAATCCCAAATTGGTTTAAAGATCAAATAACTTCACCTAAGTTAACTTCAACTCAATCAACTACTTTGCTCTAATCCCTAATATTTCAGTGACAGCATTAAATTAAACAGCCAACTAGTCTTCTTTGACTTTGAGATATAAGTTCTTTTACTTAAAAATATGTATGAGGGCAGGTGATTCTTAAAAATATTTTAAAATAAAAGCTAAATGTAAACTAGAATATGTTTAAGGAAAATGTATTGCGACATTGAAAATCAAGATATATTTAAATAGCATTATTTTATGACTTGTTTTCGACTAGTCTGGCATATAATTGATGTCAAAGTCAAACTTCAAACTTGTTCTCCATAGATTCTGGTTATATTTTACCTTGTCACAAAAAGAAATTTAGGCAAAAATTTATGGCCTTGCTGCATTAGTGCTTCAATTTTTATGCACATAATATCACAAGCAACTATCAGTAACCTCTTTCACTGCAAATACGTTCAATTGTCCCACTTCCTACACATATTTGATAATTTAATCTTAAAAAATTTTATGATAGTAATCTGGCTGGGCTGTGTTCTGCTTGAACCACGTTTATCATTTGAAATAAATATATATTTGGATCTGCAATACCTAAATGCTCTAATAATAGCTATTCACATATTAACCTTAGTCAGTTAGGTGAGCATTAAACATGTCAGAACCTAAATATATCTCCACTTAATCCATGCAAATTTCATTTGGTTAATCCATCTAGCTTTTTTAAACTTCCTGAATAGAAACAAGACAATGAGAGCTACAAACCAAAGGTAAAACTCCTCAATCAGCTATTCATTCAATTAAGCTGAACCAACAAATGCTACTGTGAAGTGAACACAAAAAGGTCAAGGCTAAGTTTAACACCAGACATACTATGAAGGAAAAGCCATTAAATAAGGTCCAATGATCTCTGCATACCCTAACACGTTGACTAGTAACCACAGAAAACCACAACCAAAATCTCCGACTCAGCCTTGCATATCCTACCAACATACTGGAAAAAATGTACATGCGTACAAATATACAGTAGCAGTTCCAAAGCTTGAATATTCTACAACAAGCAAGTTATAAGTACACAAGAACCAAAGAGATAATGACAAGTGAGACTAGCAAATTAAGGAATAGTGTCTGAGAAGCTTTAGAGATGAAAAATTAATAAAATAAGACAAAAATAAATAATTAGAAAACAAATAAACTTTAAGCGCAATGCTTATTAGCTTGAAACATGAATTTTGAAGCTCAAATATATCAAATTGATTATGCCATAGCAAGTAAAATCATAATGAGCAAATTTCAAATAAGCTATAACACTGAAAACAAAACAAAAATTTAGAGTTTCGGGGATCAATAGTAGACACCAAATAACTGGGACGAGGCAACGACGATGATGAAGATGGACAAAAGTATTGGCTTAATACCTCCCATTCTTCCTGACTCTTCATCCCCGTATAAGCCATCAAGAAAGGCTTAGCGGTAGCTAATACTTCTTCAAGTGGCATAGGAGGCTTCTCATCTATATCTGGATTTGTATCAAACGCCATCAAATACTCAGGCTCATACTCAATCTACAGCAAGAAAAAAACACAATCAGCCTACAAACAAAGAGGTGTCCAAATAAGCACGCACAAAATAAGCTCAATCTACCAAATTATTAGTGTGAAGTGCATCCAAATAAGCTTCCTCCATTGGCGATGGCAGAACCCGCCAGCTCATCTCCTCAAAACCCTCAGCTAAAATCTTCATATTCTCCTCTCCCAGCCGCTTCTCCAACTTCTCCCCATCAGCATTATCCCCCAAATAAAGATCAAACTCATGATCAGCATCACGACGGCCTCTCCCACCACTAAATCTACCACCTCTCCCTCTGCCTCTTCCCCTTCCTACCATTCCTCTCCCACCTCTTCCCCTCCCCCCAGGCCCGCTCGGCCCACCACGTGACAGAATATCTACTGCCCTTCTCGCAGCGTCCTGGCTCCCAAGCTTCGGCTGGGATGACGACGACGGCGGGCTCCGTCCTATGGGCTGCCCGCTGCTGCGCAGGTGCCGATTCTCCTCAATTGGCCTGGGGCCAGATTCCGCGGTTCTTGTAGGTTTCCCACGACCTGAGCCGGATAGAATGGGCGAGAGGCTCGGAGGAAGGGGGGAAGATTCGTCAGGATCGGCAAATTGAAATTTCTCAGGCGGGGAGTCCGGATCCGATCGCCTGAAAAAGATGGGTTGCTTCGTCTGAGAGTGAGGGAGATCGGGTGTGATGCGCCCGCGGCCGCGGCCGGTAGTGGAAGAAGGTTTGAGGGAAGACATAATAGAGGAGAAAGATGGGAGGTCAGCTGAAGAAGGCAACGGAGGGTGACCGCGGCCATGGCCGAAGGAGGCGAATGAGTCTTCGTCGTCGACTGTAGAGTCGGGTTGACCTGGAACACGAGCCGGAGGTGAGGGCGCGGGAGGAGAGCTGGCGCCTCGGCCCCTTCCTCTACCTCCGGCCCCACCGCCGCCGCCGCCGCCGGAGAATGTGGAGTAAGGATGGGCATAGAAGGCAGCGGTAATAGGACGGCTGGGGGAAGCGGCGAATCGATTTAGGCCTCTCATGGAAGTGTGGGGTTCTGCAAAATGGGGCAGTGGCGAGCTAAATGAGCGAGCGCTCGAGTTAGGAGGTTAGTAGTGGTAGGGTTTAGAGAGAGGTTGGGTTGCGCCCAGTGGCGGAGCCAGGAAGGGTCTAAATTAATTTAGTAAAATTTTTCCTAAACTTTTCTCATCCGGGTTTGAAACTGTGACAGTTTTAAAAAAAATTTATTAATAATTATCCCAAAACATATAATATTAAATACAAAATAGTAAACAACTTACAATTTATAATGTCTACTCTTCATATTCTGAAAGAGTTGAATGATAACTTCATTATCAATAGAATCCAAAATTTATTTTTCAACATAAGCAAGTAATAACTTATTCATTCATTGATCGTCAATCCTATTTCACAGTCAATTTTTTTATAATATTTATGACAGAAAATGCACTTTCAACGCCGGCTGTAGCAACTAGCAACAGGTAATACCAATGACAATTACAGTAGTTTAAAAACAACATGATATATTTTCAACAATGGCCCTCGTTGTAAATAGACTCTTCGAACTTCATCCCGAATATTAGGATTAAAATCAACAATGGGGATTCGTAGTCCTGGATCAGATGGAAGATTTTCAATGCTTACTTCTATATTGTTAGGTAAATCAATTTCCACTCGAATGCGCTTTTCTTTATGATCTTCAACCTTATTGCTATTGTCATTTGATGTTTTTTGAACTGATGATCGTTTGAAATATCTCTTCATAATATTCCAACTCAAAGATGCCTTAAGATTAATCTAATTATATATATTTTAAAAAATGGCCAAAATATAAAACTTATAAAATCAATCATATAAATGTAAAGAAACAAACAATAAAACTTATAAAATTTAACAAAATTAAATAGATTTGCTCCTTTACAAATTCCGGGCAAACATCCCAAAATTTTTTATCAGATTTTCATAATTTACTTCTACCAAGAAAACTAAGGCATCAATGCATAATTTAAATCAATTGCATGTCATGACTTCTAGGCTTCTAGCAACAAAATGACAAAATCAAAGAAAAAAAAAAAACCTCACATCCTCACGGCCGAATTTGGCCAAACATCAGGTCTGGCCAAAGCCAAACATCTTGTCCTCGGAAAGAGTCGTCGCGTCCTTGGACAAGAGAGAGACATCAGTTTCTTTAGGCCTTCTAAATGTTGAAAGTAAAGGTGATTCGGTGTCTCAATGAAACGGGAGTTTTTTTTTTTAAAAAATACCTCACGGCTTCCGCCGCCGTCGGTCTAGGAGTAAGAGTCGTCGCCGTCTCCGTCCGCCGTGCATCCAGATCAAACTAAGATCATTTATAAAATACAAAACTAGCCTATCTATATAAACTAAATCCATCAAATTAGCTAGCTTCTAATTAATTAAACATCCTCCTTAATATCCAAATCAAACTAAGATTATTTCTCACCCACTAACATCAACTTTACCATCACGGTTGAAATTCTAAAGTCAATCTCATGAAGGTGATGAATATTTATTCGACCTCAATCTCTCAAACTAATTCATTTTGTGTGCAAGCCAAACCATGAAGTTGCCAAAAAAAAAAAGCAATGGAAAATTAAAGATCTTAATTTGTGCTTCAAAAGAATCAAGAATAGGAGAAATTATTATGTTCGATCACCAGCTGTCTGGAGGTCAATCAGGATGTGTCACATCACCAAATACACAGTGGCCCATAATAAATTGGTGATGTAGCGGGCCCTGATTTGCCTCCAGATGATGTCCGATGACCGCACATAATATTTTCACCAAGAATATAGACTTCCATATCAATTGCATCATAAAATATCATATTAATGATTATTTTGAAATCTAAAACTATTATTATATACAAGATTTATGAGGAGACATGGTGTCCTTTGTCTTATCATATTTCACCTTTGCATGCATAATATTAAAAATAGTTAATTCAAACGCTTTGTAGAATTAAAGGTTTTATCAATGAATATTCATGTTAATCATGCAATCCAATGTGTTCTTTAAGATTCATTAATTAATCTAAAGATAATAATCTTTAAGAACATAAAGATAGATGCTACTTTATCACCCACATTGCAAGCCTTGCACCACAAACCTCATTAAAATAATTTTCAAAATTCATTAAAAAATAAATTAGGTGTTCTATTCTAACTTAGAAAATTTTAGAAAACCCATGCTTGATTAGCTCGGGGCATGTAGTTACATAATGCTATATTTTTAATATACTAAGCGTTTCTTGGTGAGAACGTAAAGCGTGTTCCAAGAATCAACACATGTTGGCGATGTTTCTTGACTAATATTAAAGTGTAAACTATAGGTGTTGTTGCGTCCTGAAAAGGATCGTAGTTGGACGACAAAGGTTGAAAGGATCATATATATATAGTCAGTTGAAAGTTATAGGAAGGATCGTAGTCGGGCGATGGTCGAAGGGACAACAGTTGGAGGGAAATGGTAGTCGAAGAGGTCGTAGTTGACAGAGCGATAGTGGTCCGAATGACTGTAGTCGGGCGACGGAGGTTGGAAGAATAATAGTCATGCGAAGAAGGTTGAAAGGACCGTATTCTATCGACGAAGGTTGAAAGGACCATAGTCCTGTGACGGTGGTCGAAAGCAGTGGCGGAGCCAGGATTTTTGATCTGCAGGGGCACAAATTTATATTTTAAAAGTACCTCAAGCTATTTCATTTGAGCTTGAAATTGCAATATGGTTTTAATTTTTTTTAGTATAGTTGTTAATTATAAGAAGATAAATTTTATGATAATAAAAACAAATTTATTGTCATGATCATCTAAATTAATTTAAAATGAATAAAAAAATATTTAAGATACTCTCAACTCTCATGGAGAGAGAAAGAGAGAGAGAATATAGGTAGAAGAGAGATGGCAAGAGAAAGAAAGCAGGTAGCCCCCCCCAATTTAAAATCCGCCCACGGTCGAAAGGATCGTAGTTGACAAGCGATAGTGATCGGAAAGACTGTAGTCGGGAGAAAATTGAAAGGACCATAGTTGGCAGGCGATCGATGTCAAAATGATCCAACAACAACAAATGAATAGTCGAAAGTTCGACAATGATTAGTGTTTGAAGTCCGGCGATGGTCGGGAAGAGATTCGGCTTGTGGTGCAAGCTTGAGAAAAAAAGAGAGATTATTTGTTTTTCTTCTCTTCCTCCTCGCCCTCATTTGTGAAAAATGAGGGGTATATTTATAGTTTTTTAGGAGTTGCATTGCTAGTAATTAAAGAGAAGATCATGGACATGTTGGGAGTGTTTCAAGAAATGACTTATATCAACTCCCTCAATCGTAGATTATTTATCGAGTTTTTGAGTGTCTTAAGGATATCAAAATTTGGCATTCTTGGGCTCGTTGGATTCATCTCACCGAGCTAGCAGTTCAATTAGACTATAAACATGTCACATTTAGATATCATTTGGTCATTCAATTAATGTTTTGAATCTTTCAAATAGGCTTTGGCCATTTGATTTAGACATACTTGGGTTTTGATTAGACCGATTTTGATGTCATTAGGTTCATCTCCTTGAGATGTTCAATTCGACTATAAGCTTGTTGAAATTAAAGTTATGATGATCCTGACTTTAATTTTGGAAGCTACTAATTCATATTTTCTTCGAGATTCATGCACGATCAAAATAATTTTTTGGTGACATATCAGGTGTCTTGGAAATTATAGATGCCAGGGTGTTTATCTTGATATAAATGTCAAGGCTAATGCATGTATCAACTTTCTTCTTATAGGATTATGTAACGCCTAAAACACATTATAAACTTGGCGATCCAATGACATGTTAATTCTCGTATAAATTCTTAAGGTAACATATGCTCTTACTTCATGCTCATTTTGGCATCAACTTTGAAATATACACTTAGTTTTCATCTAATTAACTTGGTTCAATGTTAGGTTTGACGATGCTTTCTTGAATCTGTCATATTAATACATATATTTCATAACATATATAACATAATAAACAAGTGATATTATGCTTAATGTTCAACTCATTTTATCATATTAATTAATACATGTAAATTTTGCATTTGTATCAAAATTAGTGAAATTCATAAAAAATATGCAGTATGCTCTTTTTCACCATATGTTTACCTATTGTAAAAAATATGCATGTCATACATTAATATTATGAGGTTTGACAATAATTTATCCAATTTCCATATTTATCTAAATTTGAAAATTTTTCAAAATTATAAAAATAACCAAAGAAATTTCAATATATTTTTCTTAATATGTGCAAAATGATTAAAATTATAACATATTAAAAGTTATACATTAAAAGTTTGCTAAGAATTAAGATATCACAACTTTTATAAATTCTAACCAAGTTAAAATTCATAAAATATAAAATACATAAAATCATTGAAATTAGACTTAGGATAATGATAGCCCATCTTAAGATGAATAAATTTCACAACTGTATGGACCGACAAAAATGACTCTAAGATCTCTATATTCCAATTTCTCTCTCTTAGCTTTTTCCTCTCGTTCCATTTTTTCTCTTCTCTAGCTTCAAAATATGATAATGGTAAATAAATGGCCACTAGTGAAGTTTATTAAGTGGAATGAGATATTTTCATAATAAAATATTTGAAGGATATAATTGTAATAATGTCAATTATTCAAATTTAAATGCAAAGATTGCATTTTTTTTAATCTTTAAATCTCGGAATTCAAAAATTATAAAAAAATATTCATAAATTAGCTAAGCTAGCTTATCTAGAATGATCTAGTGAAATTGATTTATAAAACAGACACTTAACGTTAAAAAAAACTCAATTGTACCTACATATACACTACGGGCCAGTTGAAAAAGTTACATTTGAAGGTCTTGGAGTCGATTTCTCTCAACGGGCCAGTTGAAAAAACTTTGTGGCTCAAGATAGGCTAACCTTTTATTTCAATAGTTTTGGTTTATTTTGAATTATCTAGATTTTAATTAATTTGGTCAGAACCCATAAAAGTTGCAATATCTCGATGTGCAA